GGCGCCATCGACCGCCGCCGGAGCGCCACCGCCGCCCGCCGTCCGCCGCGATATAGACAGAGGGAGTCGCCGCGCCGCCGCGAGAGAAGGACGAGAGAGAGGAATGGAGGCGTCGGTCGGAATGTCGGAGGGATCAGGCCGTCGTCCGCCGCGCGCCGCAAGGAGAGAGGAGGTGTCGCCGAGAGAGCGCCGCCGCTAGCGCCACCTAGTGGCAGCAGACGGCGTGACCATGAGGGCGTCACCAGCCGAGGACGCCGCCGCCGGAGTGCCGAGCGTCGTCGCTACGGGCGCCGCCTGCCGTCCGCCGCCTGAAGCGAGCGAGAGAGAGCGTCGCTGCTAGCGCCACCAAGTGGCAGCAGACGGCGCGACCAAGAGGGCGCTTGCCGAGAGAGCGTCGCTGCTAGTGCCACCAAGTGGCAGCAGACGGCGTGACTGAGGGCGCCGCCACCGGAGCACCGCGCGTCGCCGCCACGAGCGCCGCTCCCAGAGGTGCGGCTACGCGCCTGCGCCACCTGGCCAGCCTGGGCTGCCAACATACAATATGTGGGCGGCTCAGGAAAGGAGCCGCTGCGCCCGACCGGGCGCTGCCCCCTGTAGAAGCAGACATAAGGAGCCACCCACCGCTGCGGCTTGGCTGCGGCACTGCCGTCAAACGGTTGCGGCCGACTGCTGCGATCCAAGCACCGACCGCTGCTGCTGCAAAGCCGCCCAAATGCTGCGGCCAGGGCCTGCTCGCTGCCGGCGGCCTGCCTGCTGCTGCCCGCTGCCGGCAGCCCGCCTGCTGCGGCCCGAAGCTGCTGCCGGCTGCCTGCTGCCCGCTGCCAGCTGCCGGCCCGCTGCCGGCTGCCTGCCCGCTGCCGGCAGCCCGCCTGCTGCGGCCCGAAGCTGCTGCCGGCTGCCTGCCTGCTGCCGACTGCCTGCCTGCTGCCGGCTGCCTGCCCGCTGCCGGCTGCCTGCCCGCTGCGTGCCGCCGGCCTGTTGCGGCACAAGATGCCTGCCCGCTGCGTGCCGCCTGCCTGTGGCGGCACAAGAGATGCCGCCCACCTGCTGCGGCCCGCACCTGCTGCCAGCTGCCGGCTGCCTACCTGCTGCCGACTGCTGCGGCCCAGACACCATAGACAACCGCCGGACGGTGCATTGCCGCCGACAGCGGTCCCGTACCTCGCCGACGACGATACCGCGAGGCCGCCCACTGAAGCGGCCCACCGCTGCGCCAAGCGCTGCCGACTGCTGCGGTCCGGGCGCCATCGACTGCCGCCGGACGGCGCACTGCCGCCGACAGCGGTCCCGTACCTCGCCGACGACGATACCGCGAGGCCGCCCACTGAAGCGGCCCACTGCTGCGCCAAGCGCTGCCGACTGCTGCGGTCCGGGCGCCATCAAATGCCGCCGGACGGCGCACTGCCGCCGACAGCGGTCCCGTACCTCGCCGACGACGATACCGCGAGGCCGCCACTGAAGCGGCCCACCGCTACGCCAAGCGCTGCCGACTGCTGCGGTCCGGGCGCCATCGACTGCCGCCGGACGGCGCACTGCCGCCGACAGCGGTCCCGTACCTCGCCGACGACGAAACCGCGAGGCCGCCCACTGCTGCGGCCCACTGCTGCGCCAAGCGCTGCCGACTGCCGCCACTGCTGCGGCACGAGCCCGCTGCTGCGATTCAAGCATCGCCGCCTACTGCTACGGCCCTGTCACTGCCGCACAACTGCTGCAGCCCGGTCAACGCTACTCGCTGTTGCGGCCCGGGCGTAGCCGCCTGACTGTGAAGGTCCGGGGGCACCGCTGCCTGCTGTTGCAGCCTGCGCCCCGAGCAATGCCGCCCCTGCGGCGGCCGCCCACTGCCGCCTACTGCTGCAGCCCGGCCAACATAACTGCTGCTTGCTGCTGCGGCCCAAGAGAAGCCGCCCGCTGCGGAAGCCCGGGCAACGCCGCTCGCTGTTGCGGCCCGGGCGCTGCCGCCCGACTGCCGCGGTCCGGGGCACTGCTGCCTACTGCGGCCCGAACCGGCTGCCCGCTGCCTGAGCGCTGCGGCACAAGAGAGGCCGCCTGCTGCGGTCCGAGTACCGTCCGCTGCCGGCTGCCTGCCCGCTGCTCTAAATGTCTGAGTATATGTCTTATGTCTGTAAATATGTCTAATGTGTATGACTTGCTGCTGCTCCGCTTGAAGGCTGCTCCGTATCCCTGCTACTTATGTTATCGCGATCTGTGCATTTCGGAGCGTCTTAGTCTGTCGATTGTAAGGCTTTACTAAAGACCCCCTCCCCGGAAGTAAGGGGATTTAACCCACCTTGCGGAGAAGGGGGTATTTATGTAAAGCCCGCGCCTGTAGGAATAGGTTTTCCTGGTCGACGGGCGCCGCGTCGGAACGCGAGGCTGGCTTTCACCTCGGGCGGGCTGACCGTTCCGACTCCCGCCTCGAGCTGGGTTATAACGCGTGAGCGCCGGCCGATCGGGGCTCTCGTGTGGTGGCTTCGCTCGAGGTAGGTGTCCCGCTGACCCGGAGGATGGGGCTTTGTGCTCACCCCGCCTCCCTAGCTAGGCTAGGAGCAAGGTAAAGTAAATGTGTAGATTGCGCGTGTTAGGGTATGTTAGGCTAATCTGCGCGTTTATTCTGAGGCGACGTAATTTCCCGTAGACGTACATTCCCGAGCAGTCTTGTTTCATTCTTTGGCGTTATACTTGTTTTATGTAAATAATAACGGAGCAGAAATCTTTATCTTGTTTGGCAGAGAGAGACATTCGAGACGAGAGACGAAAGACGGAGGTAATGAATGAGTCACGGAGTTTAAACATCAACGTAACGTAAATGTAATAATAACGTAACTTGCAATTAAGACGGTGTAATGCACACCGCAACCCACGAGGGTGCGCGACCCAACCGTGTGTGCCCAAAGGTGATGCATTCCCTGTCCACCGGATGCCAAAGTAAAGTAAAGATAATAGTTGGACCACCACGGCTGGGTGGCAGACGGCTGTTGGAGGATTGCACGGGTGTCGGCGGTAGCGCAGCCGCCGGCATCACGAGTACATTACAGTTGTACAAGTACATTCTACAATGAGCCAAAAGGGAGGATAGTGTCTTTGTAGTTCGTTTGAGTGTTTAGCCCTTTGAAAAATAAATGCACACATCAATTTTGAAAAATCCGAGCATATCAATCCAGGCCGAATGATACGGGGTGCTCACGAAATATCCGACCCAGCAGCTGAATTTCCCAACAACAAACACTTATTCAGTTGATGCATTGGAACTGCGTGAGCCAATACGGTCTTTCCGGCTGTTTCAGTTCCCACGCAGCATTATTCAATTTCTTCCTCCACAACATCAACCGTTTGCAAACGCATGTGCAAGAAAGATACAACGAAATATCCCTGATATAATTACCTAGCGTGTGATGTAAGTCGAACATAGGGCACTCGTGTTCTAGGAACTAGATCGGAACAGCGGGAGGAGAACACAGCGGTCTGCATACCAGCACGAGCACGCAGTGCTCACACGTGCTCCACTGAGAGGAAAATCTGCGACGAAATCTGAGAAGTGTGTTAACATTATGTCGGAGGGAAATTACTGTTCTCATTAGCAGCGGAATGAAAAACGGACATATCAGAAAGGTGGTCCGCCTGAGTTTGCAGCGAGATTTAATCTACACCACGCAGGTGTTGCTAATTGACGTGCTGTTTTTGTTCGTTGTGTAGTGCAAAATATCCAACGAACACAAACATTTATAAAAACACGTCCAGCTTTGGGATCATGGCTAGCGGCAGCTTAATTTCATCCGGCTTAGGATAAAATGACCACAAATTGGTAATACAACTGGACATGGGCATTGGGCAGGGCTTATAACGATATCTAACTCTAAGTTAAGTCACATAAAGCAAAATATGTTTTAGAACAAGAGAACTGTCAGAATAGTTATTTGACTTATAGGCGACGCATTGGTAGGTGCCTATAAGAGCCTTAGCCACCATCCGTCATAAAGCCATGAAATTGTATGCATAAAAAACGTCGTCAAACTAGAACTACACATCGGTCCTAAATGTTGTGTGGCCTTCTCGCCGAACTTTTACTTCTTTAATCTCTTCACAAACCATACTGATAGGTTTTCACGAATAAATCGTGAGCATTTCCGTCTGACAGCTTTCAGCTCATTTCTCGTCTAGAAAGCTGTATGTCTTCCTTCCACATACAACAGCGCACGGGGCCGCTGCAGGAAAAAGAAGCCGAGGTTCACGTGGGATAGTATCGGCGCGGCGCCGCTGCACGAGGGACCCGTGGGAGCGGTCATCTCTGCAGCGGCTGCACGGGCCGACCTGGCGTCCTCTGGCTACCGGCGGCGCCGCTGATCAAAAATCCGCGGCACGTTTTCGCCGTGTCGTGAGAGCCGTGCCGGCCACGAGAGGACCGGGCCCTGACCGGACCTACACCCCACCCCCGGCCCCTGACCGGAACCCCACTCCTGCCCAACCCCCCCCCCCCCCCCTGTAGTATACCGTGGGACTGCCATCGGACGGTGCCGGATGCTGGGTGACTTTTAAAATGTGCAATCGGCTGTATGCTCACCAGATAAGTCTGGTATGTTAACGGAGCGGCTACAGGTGAAAAAGTCAGGTCCAAATACTAAAATAACAGTGAATGGTGGTTTGATTTGGTGAAAAGATGTAAGAACATCGCTCGATGGTGCATCAGCATGACGGACCCAATAAATTTGAATCAAAGAAATCGGTATTAGAAAGCATTTAACACTGACTTAGGTCCACGTAAACTCTGCTCTCTCAGCATTTAATTTGATTTCCAGCGTTGTATAACGAACGAAGTCAGGACTAACTGTCCCGTGCAGCTCTAACTTGAACCACTTTTCTAAACTTCTTTCTTAGCTTTGCCGACTCTTCGTGAAATATCACATACCAACTCACCGAACAAACACAACTCTCATCATTAACATTCTCTCTCATGTGTTCCACTTCCTTCCCGGGCCTGTGCCGGTCGGGAGGGACTGACTCACTTCATATTGTCCACGGAGCCGCGGTAGGTGGGAATCTTGTACTGCACGGATGCCTCTGTGTAGGGCAGCGTGAGTCCCGGATCGTCAAAGTACATGTCCTTCACCAGAGGCGGCCGCCGGATGTTGAGTGTGTCCACGATCAGGTACGACACCTGAGGAAACAGGAGCGGGGGACATTGGTAAGAAAATGATGGCGCTTCGTGTGATATTTCGAATGTGATGAGGGCCAGGAAATAAATCCAATCCACGGTCACATTTCAAACATTATTATACAACTAAATTCAGCACTAAACATGGCACTTATGCGACTGGTAAAATAGAAGAACGGCTCTTCTCCTGTCACAATAATTTTGGCTGGACAGGAGACCGTTTCCACCAACACCAGTCATATGCGACTTGCGAGACAGCCTTTCCGCAAACATGTGAGAGCTGACCCAAGCATCCCAAACGTTTGGAGACCGGGCACCACAGCGAGGGCCCGCTGGCACCCGCCCTTGTTGACCCCTGACCTTTTACCGACTCCGGGGGCTGGGTATGACCTTGAGGGAAGCGGCACAGGGGTGACAAAACCGGGGCGGGTGGGGACATTCCGCACATGTTTTTGTTTTGTTTAGAGAACCATGGGCGTTGGTCTCGGGTCTCGACAGGCGGTTTCCTGCCTGGATGCCGTCCAAGCGCTGAGCCGCCGCTGGGTGGGTGTTCCGTGCCCAGCACTGCGACAAACACGACTCGGACCGTGTGAAAATATATGAGGAAACCTCCTTCACGATCATAAACGCAACAGTGCGTGACATACGTGCGTGCGCGCGTGCGTCTCCTTCCTGCGAGTAAGGGTTCCTGAGGAATTGCTATTAATTTATTTGGACATTTCATCACCGCGCTCAATTTTACACATAGTGATAATAATTCAGAACTTGGCTTTAGAATGTCTTTGGAATGCAATCCACGAGTCCGACGCTCGGCACATAGTGCATACATTTAACATCGTTTTACGGTGGCTCCGACAATATAACGAGTCGTTTCATGCATTTACAGGTAACGAAACACCAGGCTCGAGTAATGCTGAAGTTTTCTGTTTCTAAATCCAGGCCATGCAATTGACTTTAGAAAGCTGGCATGTAAACTTATGGCCTATGGGTGTCATAAAAGTAGCTTTTTTAATCATGCGAAATCTATGCACGCATCGAAAACAGCTGAACCAATGAGTAACAATTGGAATCGACAGCTACCACGCCAAAATTATGTCATCCAATTCAACTTAAAATACTCAAAAAGATTTTCAAACTTAATTTTAAGTATTATATTTAATGGAATAACCTTCTGTTCAAAATTCTAAAAATTGCCAAAAGTTACCAAAAACACTTGAATATATTTCGGAGGCGTTCCTTCATCGGTTCAAGTGATAAACATTTATAGCGCCACATTTGCCGTTAACATATCTGATCCATGTTTTTTTTTAATATAAATCTCGCGTCTAGGTTGAGATGTGTCTTCTAATTTACATCGACAGAATTACCTTTACAGCGTACGAACAAAATTAGCTCCTACACTTAACAGGTTAATAGGTCATAATGTTGATACTATTCACACTTACAATGTTAATAGGTTGCAATATGGGGGGAGAGAAAGCGGGCAGGGATGAGGGGGGGGGGAGAATTCTAGGCAGGTCACATCAGTACTATGCCTACCAAAAGTAAACACCGCTGCCTGACAGGATAAATAAGTATGCAAACGAATGAATGACTTGAATGAATGCACGAATGAATGAAGTATGAAAGAGAGGGGCATAAACATATTATAGGTGAGCAGTCGAATAAGAGAGAGAAAGAGAGAGAGAGAGAGAAATACACACAATAATAATCGCTTCACATAAGAAGTGTGTCTGTGTGTGTGGGGGGGGGGGGGGGGTCGTTCAACAAATCGAAACACGTCTTATACCAGAGCCTATGATCAATAACCGTGTGGTATTCTAGCTCCTACCGGGGACCCGTAATGGACACCACTACTTGACGGTTTACACGATCGTCCATGATGCCACGTTTGTGTTGAGTGCTGGTCGCTCGTCTCTAATATGAAGAGATTCAGCAATCTTTCTCTCGCGCTCAGTCTTGCACACTTGTATTATTGCAGCTGTCACGTGTGATGGGCTCGGTTGTATGCCACGGTGATCTTCCCGGAAATGGTCCCCGAGAGGTGACCATTTCCGGTTTAATATGTTTATGCCCCTCAATATGTTTATGCCCCTCTCTTTCATACTTCATTCATTCGTGCATTCATTCAAGTCATTCATTCGTTTGCATACTTATTTATCCTGTCAGGCAGCGGTGTTTACTTTTGGTAGGCATAGTACTGATGTGACCTGCCTAGAATTCTCCCCCCCCCCTCATCCCTGCCCGCTTTCTCTCCCCCCATATTGTAACCTATTAACATTGTAAGTGTGAATAGTATCAACATTATGACCTATTAACCTGTTAAGTGTAGGAGCTAATTTTGTTCGTACGCTGTAAAGGTAATTCTGTCGATGTAAATTAGAAGACACATCTCAACCTAGACGCGAGATTTATATTTAAAAAAAAAAACATGGATCAGATATGTTAACGGCAAATGTGGCGCTACACTGAGAAAACAGTGTCCCGATTTTCGGGCTCAGAGACCAGTTTTCGGGCTAATGTACCATATTCAAAACAGACAGCACATTTCGAGAATACTTTCTGAGCTAGCGCCACATGGGCTCATACGATCCCTTAAATCGGTATCATTGATCGCAGAAACAGAGCTCAGTCAGTACCCATTATCGGTGTCAAGCTCTAAAACTAGTCTCACTATGATACCAGTTTTCAGCCTGATCCCCATTTTCGAGCTCACCTGATTCCAGTTTGAGGGCTCAAATTGTGTGGTGAAGCCAATATTAGGGCTCACGTCATCGCTTTTCGGGGCTTTGGTAAAAGCTGGATTGCGTCAGCTGGCTGGCCAGCTGGCGACGCACGAAAGGTATTTAATTTTAGATATACCTAAGCGCGGTAGTAGGATGGACATAAATATTTCAAATGGCTTTAAATGAAAAATTGATTGGTAAATATTCATTCTTTTATATCTAGCATTGATATGTAAGAAGCTCTGCTAGCGCCACCATACGGCGCCAGCTGGCAAAAAATCCAGTTAATACCAGAGCCCGCTTTTCGTCCGATGCAGCCCCTCCTCCCCCCTCCCCCGTGTCCAGCAGCTGCGAATAAGACGAAGCCGCGGACAAACTTTTTTTTTTTGCTCGGCCAGCCTAGCGCCAGTCTCGAGCGGTGGGACAGTTAACCGGCAATTTTGGCCGGGATGCAAAAGTTACGTTAAACCGGTTTATGTTAACCCGGGAGCAAATAACAACGTGGGAGCCTATCTTAGGTGTGGCAAAGCTAACGGATTACTTACTTGTTGCCGAGGTGCCCAAAGAAGGTACTGGAACCGAAAACACAACATTGGTTCATGTATTTATTAACATTCATACACACAGTCATACTTGTGCAAGGTGTCAGTGTTCGGTTGTGGGGTGTAATAGCCAGGGAAAAAGTTCTATGAACTGAAAAACCCGGCGCCTATTACTTCGCAACATGGTTGTGTATTCAACATGAACTGCAAGGAGTGCAGACGACATTGCCTGTGCTAACTTAACGTCTCACGGGCAGCGCCGCGCTATGACACCTTGGTCCCAGAAGCGGCGGCGTTTCTGACCGCAAATCGCCGGAGAGCCGGTCGACGCCGTTGAGGGGACTGAGCAGGCCGCTGCCAGCTCCACCTTCACGTCCGCGCGGCGCAGCTCGGTGTGCGGCGGCGGCTCATCGCGCGGGCCGCACCCGTCCGTCCGCTGCACGAGCCGCTTTTCGATCCGACAGCGCAACACCGGCACGCCATTGTGCTGGCTGAGCGGCGGCAGCGGCACGTAGGCAACAAAACAGTAGAAATCGATGGGCCTGGATCGGCGTTGCCAGCAACGCCGGCAGCGGCGCGGCGGGAGGCGCCAGTGCCGCCGTCGGGGACGTGTGCCCTTCGCTGCGCTCATTCGAGTTGGCCGGCCGGCCGCGCGGCGTAGTCCTTTTGACACGGTGCGAGAAGAGCCGGATGAAGGTGGACTTTTTATTGGCGTTGCTGGTGCTCACGCCGCCGGCGTCCAGTTTGGGCGGCAAGTCCGAGTACCAGGAGTCGGACAAGTCCCGCGCGAACGCCGCCAGCCGGTCGTCGTCACTGCTGGCGGCGGCCCGCCGACGGCGCTGCCTCAGAATCGGACGAGTCGGTGGTACTGAGCACCTCGCGGGACGGGTAGCTGGGAGTGGGCCGGCCGCGGCCCCTGCCAGGCCGCGCCACCTTCACCGGCGCAGCCGCCTTCAAACTGCCCTTGCTGGGCGGCGGGTTGGTCGGCGGAGGCGGCAGCGGTGCCTCGACGTCAGTCCGAGTCGCTGTTACTGGGCGGCCGCCGCGGAGACGGCTTCTGTTTGACCCGCAGCCGGCCTGGGCCGGCTCGGCGCCCTCGGCCGGCGGCGCGCGCCGTTTCGAGCGTTTCACCTTTTCACTGTTACTCTCGCCTGGTCCTCAGCGTCGAGCGGCTCGGCGCTGTTCGGTTTCATGTGGCCCATGCTGCTGGGAAACTCGGGTGGGGACAGCTTTCTGACTGGAGTGCCGTCGAAGATGGAGGAGACGGGGGTGCTCGCAGAGTCCTTGCCCAATGCCCATGATAGAGCCGAGGCTCCACTGGACGCCCAGCTTAATCGGGCTATCGCCGCCCTCCTTCTATGGTGGATTCTTCGGCCCCCTACAGCCACTAGGGCCATCATATACTCCCAGATGGCGGCACCTAGGGGATGAGGGGGGGGGGGTGTCTGGGCCACTTGTCAACCTCGTGGCGTCGCCAGCGACGCCTGCGAGTCGGAGCAAATGATTATGGGGTCTTCCTCGAAGGACGGGTGCTTCAGGAGATGTTGCTTTGCCGTTTTGGGCGCCACCATCTCAGATCGGTAAATGGAGCAAATCCTCCCCGCCGCCTCCCGCAGTACCAATGTTGTACTGTCTGGGTGCTCGGTGAGGACCCCAGCGCCGCCTTCCTATTACTCCCCCGGTCGCAGACCCGTCGACCCAGGCCCACGTCGCACGCTGGGGGAGCGCTCCCAGTCACGCCTCCGCAGCACTCCTCCTCGCTGTCGCGGACGCCCCGATCGGCAGCAGGTCCAGGTGGACCGTGACGCCGTCTGTTGGCGTCTACGGGGGCAGTCTCGTGGATAAGCGCGCCTCGGCGGGCAGCGCCACTCCAGTGGTCCCACACCGCTCCCCCGCGCTCTCTCCAGCCGGTCACTGACTTCAGTCACGGTTGGGGGGGGGGGGGCTTCCGCCACGACGCGGCGGGTCCTCCGACGGGAGGGAGAGCGCCTTCGCCAGTAGGCGCGATGCCAGCGCATCCCTCCTCATCTCTCCATCGGCACGACGCCCGCCTCGGCCCTCACGGCGAGTCTTGGAGCATGGAAATCGGGCAGCCAGTGATGACTCATGCCACCATCAGCATCTCCGCCTCCAGGACGCCAAGATGTGTGGCCGCAGCCGCAGGCAGCCACGCCGACCCCGCTGCCCGCATGCCCAAGTAGTCTCGAATCGCTGACACCTCTCCTGAAACAAGAGTGGTGTCGTAAACTTAAACCCCTTGCTGGAGCCCGCCAGCCGCGACAACACCGCCACACCAATTTTTGTGACCCCGGAACTTCCGTCCCGAGCCTTATTTCACGGCACGATGCTACAGTGCGCTACACGTATTGTGGTATTCAGCTTCCATGGAAACATCAACTAATTTGGACGCTCAAACATGGGAGTCAGGAGTGGTTAAGGCCCAGAGCGTTCTGTCTGGTTTATAAAACCTTGGCCAGCAGATGTAAACGTGCTTTTTGTATAAGTGGCTTAATTTTGACGCAAAAGGGCACTAACCTTCGGCGCAAATAATGCAGAAATTTCAGCGCAAATTGCAAAATAGCTTGCGCCGAACTTCGGCGCATGACGGCTTCACGGGCGTCCGGCGTACCATATGGATGTTTTCCAGTTTGGGCTGCAGGTTTTAGCTCTAGGTTTTAGACTGTAGGTTTTGGGTTGGGTTGGGCTGGGCTGGGCTGGGCTGGGCTGGGCTGGGCTGGGCTGGGCTGGGCTGGGCTGGGTTGGGCTGGGCTGGGCTGGTTGGGGTGGTTGGGTTGGGTTGAATTAGGTTAGGTAAGTTTAGGTTAGTTTAGTTTAGGATAGATATGAATACCTATTTTTTGTAAGTTGAATTATTTTTTCATTTTGTAGCATCATATGCCTTCCATCTTTGAACTGCCATATTCAAGCACCAGAATAAGTATGGACTTGAACCTTTTCCAGTCTGGATGCCTGTATGGAAGTTGTGCAAAATCATGCAGTTGAAGGTATTGTAACCACAAATAAGAGCTCATGACTCAAGTCTCAACTTGTCCATAATTGGTTATCTTGATGTATACTTGTAGACCCTTCCTCTTACTTGGCACACAGGCATGGTGTCACAGTGTTCTAAAATTGGATTTCAATTGGGCGTCCCAATAAAAAAAAAATCTGAAGACAAAATGAGATAGATTTAGTCTTTCCGCAAAACTGCATAATGCCATTTTTACCTCAGATTTTGTCAGAACCTTCACAGGATCTGAAATGAAATGATGTAGAGTAGATGCATCAACTGTCAAGTCATGCGTAACCTGGCAGCTGGCTGTTGAATCAAACTTTTGACATATTTTTTTAGCAAAGATGAAATAAAGCCACTTGTCATATTTTTAGGATGAAAACATTTTCCCCATCATGTGTGGTTATTCACCTAAAATTCTGAAACATGGAACACTGTCATACCAGCATTCCATCATGTCAACCAGCATTCCGCAGCATGTTAGCAGAAGCAGCAGCATGTTATAAGTATATGAAAGATCCAAATAGGTTGTAGGTTGGTAGGTATTGGTACTAAGTTTAACTTAATAGGTTAGTAGGCAAGGTTAGGATTAATTTTAGTTGAGCATCAAGATAACCATTACGAACAAGTAACAAAATCCTTACCTACCCTTGAAAGCATTGCTTCAATCACATCATCACGAAGAACCAGACAAAATTTTTGCACATTCTTACACTATTTGACATCCTGAATCCAGATATGATGCTTTCATGTGGCGCAAATACAAGAAAAACGAATAATCAAACCCGTGCGTATTCGTATCAACGGCGCCACAATTGTAGATCAGACCTTTTCTGAACAAATGCCACCACAATTTTAATTGATAAGGGATTAAAATGGCATGAGCATCAACATCTTGATTTTTTCTAAAAGATAGCGATAACTGATAACTAATAACTTACCATTCATTTTGAAATCACGGCGGTAGGTACACCAACACATGGCACTGAAAACAGCAAAAGACGGAATGGCGGAATGTCGTATGGAGCCCTAAAACGCAGCTCGAATTGAGCCCGAAAAGGAAGACGAACTGATGCCGCTTTCGGGGCTAATGTACTTTGAGCCCGAAAAGGGCGCCTAACTGATCCCGATTTTAAAATCATACAGATTTGAGCCCTGTTTTGGCACTCATATGAGCCCTTATTCAAAAATGTTCTCAAAGTGTTTTCTGAGTGTATAAATGTTTATCACTTGAACCGATGAAGGAACGCCTCCGAAATATATTCAAGTGTTTTTGGTAACTTTTGGCAATTTTTAGAATTTTGAACAGAAGGTTATTCCATTAAATATATTACATATAATGCTGTTCACCAGAGTGCTTCGTCATTTGATTTTAATTTTAAGTAATTTGATTCCGAGACTTATGAAAAAGAACAGGCAGACAGAAACGAATAAAAGGGATAGTGGTGTTCAGCTCATCGATAAGAAGAGGAGGAAAAAATGGAACGGGCCTTTGAACTAGGAGGAAGGCACAACAAAATGCAAATGACCTGGAAGTTTCAAAGACTACAATATAATGCAGAGAAGAAACATAAAGATTGATTTTTGGTGGTATTTTATCTGCATATATCCATTTTTGATCGGCCGCCAGCGAAGAAGTCATCTGGAATGTAGGACACCAGCACCGCCGCTGCTATTGTTTCGCTGGGAGGCGATTGTTCCAGACGACTTCCAGCCTCCAGAGACCGTCCAAATGTCACCGGCAATCACGTCGAGTATGGTGATTTGACTTTTGAGACGCGGTATGTGTGACTGATAAGTCAAGTTAATTGGCCCGGTCCGCTGCTCAGCTGTGTTTTAAAGGTCCTAAATTCGAACACAAAAGGTGCCTATAGGATGATAGTTGCCTCTAATGGAGCTGGCGCTATCTGATGACACAGTCTGCAGTGTGGTTCCAGGGCCACATATCGGGCAGTCCCGGCTCTCCCCTATCACCCCCTGACAGCTCCCGCCCCCGTGTTCGCCGCCCCCGCCCCCGCTGTCGCTACCGACAGCTCCCCTCCCTTCCCTCCCCTCCCCTCCCTCCCCCTGTCGCCGATAGCGGTGCGATCGTCTGTTGGCACGGGACCTGACCTCCCCTCTCTCCCTCCCCGGGCTCCCCCAATACTGCAGCAACTGACACAGCGTACACCGAGCGAGCTTGAATCGAGGACAGGACGAGAGAAAGGGCGCACTGCTGGCACCTAAAGACACCGCGTGCTGAGTCGCCGTTTCCGGCTGCAAATGTCTCTCCACAAGAAATATTTAGGAAAAGTTGGGCTTAGAAAGATAAGCCATTGGGAAGTAAAGTCGCGATCTTTATGACGCAATGGTATGTGCTTGAGTAAAATCGTCAAAGCTATCCTCAGTCCCCACCTTGACGTGTCTGTCAATGATCCAGTTGAGCTCGAAATCTTCGTCGTCGTCGCCGAAAGGATTGATTAACTGCTCCGCAACCTGAAAAACGCAGTACAGGGCTGTCAAATGCAATATGATCAGCTTGAAATTCCGACACAAAGAAACTCTGTCGATTGATGACTGTGTGACTGCCTGTAAAGTTGTTTGGCTGCTGAAGAAGTTGAAGTAAAAGCACACTGAAGCCTTGTGCTGGTGATTGGTGAAGTCTGGCTCGATATGTCGTGGTGAAGGGATGTTTTAGCTTTGTAAGACCGACACCGTTCTGTGCCAGCTTCGCTTATAATGGCCTCACAAAGCCAACTTTACAGCTATGACGAAAGATTTATCGCCCGTTTATTGACAACAGATCCCAACGTGGCAGCCAAGGGAATCCGATGCTGTTTTTCAGCCGTGCTGCTTCTCTGTGCAAAATACTTTCCACGCGCTATTCAGATGAGGATTGATTTGATGACTTCGCTCAATAATATACCGTCTGGTGATAATCTCAGCTTATTCCCGTCAACGAGAGAAGACTTAATTAGGTTCACAAGTTAGCAGCATGCCCTTTCTGCAACCTCATGCTCAACTTCGCGACGCAACAGCGAACCTTCCGCCTCCGCTAACTTCGATTGCTGCCCTGCGCCGTTGATGCACGGCCCAAAGAACATCACTCTGACCTCGCTTGTGACACTCATTAATAAAAGGGGCCTTGGTCTTGTTCCTCATCCGGGGTACAGGTGCCGGGTCCTAAATGATTCAGCCGCTGGCTTGTGTAGGTAGGTAATCTGGGAATGAATCTGTTTCGTACACCTGCCAGCTCTTATGAGTGACTAACTAATGTATTGTGTGTTTAGAGCAAACGCGAAAAGTCACAAACGAAAACAACTACATGGCCACTGTATTGATGTGTTCCAGCGGAATTGTATTCCAATCTCTACTTATGCTGCGCTGCCTTACTCGCTATTTGCCTTGCGGCACAGCCTACCTACAGGCGTCGACCTCTAACGCCATCTAGGAACAGAAACAGAAAACAACTTGTATGTTTCTGTATACACTTCAAGGATGTGACCAATTTAAGATTTTCCAAATGCAATTGCTGTTAGAAATGGTGTAGTAAGACGGTAGTGGCATTTTCTTAGCAGTTAGCATGAATGTCAAGAATTAATCACACATGGAACGAAAACTATCCTGGAGGAATCGAATCCTTTCGATCATGATCGACCACCGAGCGGGGCCGCGGGTGATTTAGCTCCGCTGTGTTTCTGGAGCACGACTGCGGCCAACCACAACACGGCACGAGCGGAGCATATTGAATCAGGAACACCCCTTTGTCTGCTGGCGAGCTGCCAGCTGTATCAGCTGTTCCAGTCGGACAGCTCTCTGTCCAGCGAGAGCACTTGCTGAGTTGTCGACTAACGTCCTTCTCTGCCCATCAGGCGCCATATAGAAAAATATGATTACCAGATGGCAGCTGCTCCCATCACTGAAGCAAATACCACTAGAGGTAGGCATGTTGTCTGACTGCCAGTTTATTTCGCATTGTTTGCTTTGAATGCATCAGCGAGTCATGAGAAATGATCAATACAAAGGATTCAGGCGAATCGGTGGGATAGATACGAAAGCATTTGTTTGAAATTCAACAAACATCAACAACGAAAAGCACGGACTCTGTGGCTTTCATTGAACCGCCTGCAATGAGGTTGTGGGAAAACTAAAACGTCTGTATAATTGTGGAATATGGCTTCCCAAACCGAGCTGCAACAGTAACCATGTGTGAATGCCAGTCGTTGTTTTTTAAGCCCAACACCTCTCAACGCAACCTATTACCTCCACGCACATGAAACTTTGCTGCATGCACCGGGTCTGGCTAACGACGTCATACCACACACCTACACTACTCACGACACCCAACCCGGTACAAATCACAGCGGCGCGCCAACTGCAGGCTTCTCTGCAGGCACAGGCGTGCACAGTGCACATTGCACAGCTCTGCCCCGTCCTGAGCCGGAGCTGCGGGCCCACGCGCCGCGGCGGGAGAGGTGCCCCGTTACACAGTTCGCTGTCACCCAGACGTCACCCCCGGTCACGCGGCCAGGTAATGGAAGTGTAATGGGAGAGGGCTCCGGTTACCGTCTCGGTCACACAGCGCCTGTCACTCGTTCTGACGGGCGGAGCAGGAGCGAGGGCCGTCGGGCATCCAACGGAGATCGCTCCGAGAATGCAACTTACGAGAAGTCGAATGCATAAAGGGAGGAATTTGAATGACTATTTTTATATAGTTACACAAGTTCATGATCAAACAGTTGTATAAGATATAATATAAGAATTAAGTGCAGGGTTGTTAACACTTTTAGTTAGGCGGAAAAAAATGGTCAATCCTTGCTAGAATTTTTAGCTACAATTATCCTAGCTACCCAGAAGACTAGACCTCAAACCTAGTCAAAAACAGAAATATTTATTTACATCGGTTCATTGTTGAATACGTCATCTTTTTAGCCCAGAATTGCCCAGAGCATCGCTGGACCAAGCATGAATCCATCAGCCCTGACGCTCCAATTAACTCCCCGGACTGGAGTTAGTGCTCAACTCGGACCCATAAACTTGAACTTAACCTCGTTATCCCTGGAAACGACAATAACGTCTCCGAAAGGCGTGACCTAAATTCAGTGCTTCCCTGACATTCCACGACCTTTGCAGGCGCAGAATCTATAAAGCAATCAACAAAGCATCAGGCGTTAATCAGCAATATGACGTGTTGTTGGACTTTGGACAACAATCTGCTAGACAGATGGCATAGCGTTCAATCGGGCTTTTTAGTCAAACGGGGCAGCGTGGGCTGTAGCTTCCTCACCTTCAGCAGGCCCATGTAGAAGAGGAACTGCAGGATGGTGAAGAACGGCAGGTAGAGGTCTAGCTGGACGGCCGGCTTCCCCTCGCTGTCGGCCAGCTGGATGATCTCCTGCTGGCGACCCACCAGGCAGGCCACGAAGAACGTGTAGGTGGCGATGGTGACCACCTGTACGGAGCCCGATATGTGGTTAGATCATGTATGTTTGAGCAGAAGTGGTCCAGTGCACCAAGTGGAAAGGCAGGAGGAAATCGTAGGCTTCATGATTTAACTAGCACAACGCAATGAGATTAAATGTACGCAAATAAATGGAGAAGGGATGGACAACTGTCACTCATTAAGACCCTACGGTTTGCTGATTGAGCCGCTTACCTGGGTGTAAACCAGAGGAATGCTGACCCAGTCGTAACTCCACAACAAGCCGCAGTTGGCGCGGTACTCGTTAAACGTCTGAAACGAAGCCACATTTGGATTCAAAAACGTTCCATGTAAGACGTTTTTCATCCGAGTTTTACAATGCAACAAACCACTATCCGAACCATTGTGTTTATAGGCAGCTCCCGATTAACCGGAAAAGCCGTGCCATACCATCTCGTACCCATCGTAGCATATTACGTTTCCGGCGATGCAAGTCAAGTTTCTGCAACAACTTGTATTCCCCATTTTCGTCTAACAGCGTTTGAATGTTCAAAGCCATCTCGAAAGCGGCTTGCTAATGCGTCGTCAAGCCCACGGCTATCTCAATAGATCTCCGCGGCTCGTCCCGCTTGTTTGCCTGACAAGAACGGCACATGTGTTCCACTATTAGCACATTCAGGTCACTGGCATCCAAACATACACAACCGCAAATTGAGACAAACAAACAGAGACATTGGAGGGAGAGAGGGAGATGGACTGCAGAGTGGGGAAAGCGGGAGCACACTGGGGGTCATTCAGAGACAGAAACAGATGTGATTATTGAAAGCGAAGGAAAGCGAGAGCGCCAGAGGGTGAGTCACGAGCTGAAAACCAAACGGAACGCGGAGCAAAAAGGGTGATTTAGCACGTAAGCTGCGCCGCCGATATCCGTGAAACGAACCGAAACAAAGTCGCCAAAGGACGATCCACAGGACAGCACAGAGTGGCTTATTTCACAGTGGACATTATAGTGTAGAGTGACTTATTCGTGAGAAAATATCACAATGAATACCTCCGAGTGAATTGGCATCCCCACCATTATTCGTACCATATAATATCGTAATAAAACGCAACACAATGAACATAATAAGAGATCACAGTGGACATAAGACATCACAGTGGACATCACAATGGACATCACAAAGCGACTCACACCTCGACGATGAGTTTGAGTCCCATCGAGTCGACCACGTGATTGGTGGTGCGAGCCTCCCTCAGCAGGGAGACGAACCAGCAGCACGGGATCCAGTACGTGTTGAACTCCTTCCGCGGCACGCTGGTGAATTCCTCCAACTCCTGAGCCGTCATGAAGCCTGCAGAGAGGGGAGTGTGAGGCTGGTCTGGAGATGTTCGACTGGTGAGTCGTGGGTGGAGAGAGGGAAAAGAGAGAGGGAGAAAGAGATATAGAGAGTAAGAAAGAAAGAAAAAAAAAGAAAGAAAGAGAGAAAGAAAGAAAGAAAGAAAGAAAGAAAGAAAGAAAGAAAGAAAGAAAGAAAGAAAGAAAATGATAACGAAAATAAAAGAAATAAATAGCGGCCGAAAAACAAATGAACAGACAAAGACACAAACGAAGACAGAGACGCCGAGAGGCAGACAGACAGTGACTACCAGGAAGGGCAGACAGGAGAGGTGTCCGTCAGAGAACCGGAAACGGAGAAAGCCGAGGCCGCCGGGGATGATGGAGGATAATAAGACCGTCTGCTCTGGTGACGAATGGTACCACACCGGTACGGCTGACGTCCAAAGCTGTCCGGATCTGTGACTTTTGATTTACCGAGCGGACCAAATGAAATGTGCCGGTTTCCGAATGCGTGTTTAAGCCCAAAATGCCCAAGGAAGTGAGTCATATTACACTGGTTTAAATGGATTTTAAGCTCATCATTTTTCTGACAGAGCAGGTGGGTGGTTCCTAAATGGTTTCAGCTTTCAAGATCAGGTAACAAACCGTTTTGATTGGACATGTCCCTTTACGTTTTTACCAATGATGAAAACCAAATTTTATTCTCATTTGGCTTAGCTGCCCTTTCGAATTAAAGCCGTTGGCCAGTAGCAGTGTGGTACATACCCATTTTGTTTCTTCATCTGCAGACTGCAGCACTTCATGAAATTTCTTTTTTATTATATTGGTGTTGTAACAGTGTTTTTTCCAGAGAAACAAGCCCTGAATCGGGTCACCCACGCTTCATGACATGTCCCAATCATAGGTCGTGATCCCGGCTTCTCACGCAGTCTCAACCAACATTTTGACCGAGTTCACACACAGAACTGGTACTGATTTCTCTGACGTAGTACGTGCGGTGGTTGATGGTCCGTTTGCACTGATTCACATCGGGTGAATCAGTGCGCTCATCACCCGTCACCTGACCTGTCACCGACCGCAGAGGTGACAGGACTCGCAGAAGGCGTCGACAGCATCATCCAGAAAAGACGGACGAGACAGGTAAAAACATCATCAATTTCTGGTCCGTTGTGAGCCGGTGCCAGCTGCAGTAGCGGGGCGCCGTGGGAAGTTGCAGGATGGAGATTGCGGAAGCGGTGGCTCATGGATATCGGTCGTGAATCTGGCCGCTGGAGGGCGATCAACCCTGGGGCAAAGGTGATCGAACGCAGCTGTGCAAACGATCTACATCAAACCAGGCATAGGGTGTCAAAAATAATTCCGGTTTGAATCAAAATCGCTGGGCGTTTTTACGATTTAGTAGACGGTTATATAAATCAATTTATTTATTTCTAATAAGTATTGTAAATGTAGAGTGAATAAGGTCAAAATATCATATCATTTCATTTATTTGTTGTAGCTATTAAATTATTAATTCATTTATTAGTAGTGGCTCAAAATCAGCCTTATCCTCCCTAACCTAACCCACCAGCCAGTGATATCCCCTCTCCTCTGACTCATCAGAGTCCTATCTTCCCTCACATGACTCATATAATAAGGCAGTCCATCGGTCTATCCTCCCTCACCTGACTCCACCAGGTGGTCCAGGGTGGGCAGCCGCCGTTTCACCGCCGAGGAGATGGAACGCAGCAGCAGGATCAACGACAGGTTCAGGTACCGCACCATCGTCCGCCGGATCATCCGAGAGTTCTCGTCGGCTCCGCGCACGTACAGCGCAATGGCGTGCAGAATTCTGCGGCAGAGCGGGCCCAGGGGTGTTCGAAGCAGCTGTGAAAGCTGGAACGTGGGACGAAGAGGAGAAACGTCTATTACTCAGCATTGAGCGTGTGTGTCGAAGTAAAACTGGGCTACTGTTTATCTTCACGTCTTATTCGTCATAGTGAATGGCAATTGTTAGCTAAGCATTACCATGAATGATGATGTTTTGTTTTATTCAACACCCGTCTGCTGCGGCAACGTCTGGCGCTATTTCTGTAACGAGCCTCGTGACAGAGCGCGGCCTGTGACCTTTCGTTTGGCACCTCACCAGAAGCCTTACTGCATTCAACAACGAGCGAAAGGAGTCTGTAACCGTACGGCGCTCTCTGTAACTGCACCCCGTGCGCGTCCTGCAGGCTGCACCGTGACATGACCCAGGCCAAGCTCCGCCCACCTCGTGACGTCACACCCAGCGACCTTGAACTCTGAACTTGACCTTACTGTCAGACCGGTCGTTACATCAGCGCTATGTGGTGAGTGATAGTCTCCTGGGCCATGTGCATCTTTACATTGGCAGCCATATGTCCCTCACGACACTAACATCTTTTTATCACATCCAGATCATATGGATGCTATATTCTGTATACCTACAGGAATCCCCAACTGAGCTATCCCTGTATGTACGTCCCCACCAGCGAAAACTATTTTTGCCTGTCCCATGAGGCCCACGATCGGGCCACTAATGGAATTAGTGTCATTAGCTAATTCGCTGAGAAACAACCAACAAACTAGCCCATGGCGAGACATGTCCCCAGCTCCCCCTGAATGAATAATGCTATCCGAGCGAGCGCGGTATGTCCCAGGAGTCCGCTGCTTCGCATTGCTACCATTGGCACATGGCCATCTGACTTCGAGTCCACCTCGCTGCACGTCCAAACAGTTAGATTTCCCACATAATAACACGCCACTCCCAAACCCCGGTCTGGGATGTCCCAGCTGAGGCGCCACTCTCGGCCGACGGCGCGGGTTATTCCACTTCATCATCACATCAGCACGGCTATCATCATCACATTAGCGCGCGTCATGACGTCATTATCAGGTAATCACGGTGTCTGACGCCACTTACTTGTCGGGCCACGGTATGGCCGTGTACTGCTGCCACCAGCGCTGGGCCACGAAGGTGACGTAGAAGCCGAGGACGAACGACAGCGGGATGAGGCTGATGAACTGGTTGCAGTAGTCGCGGATCTGCTCAAACACCCTGGCGGCAGAGGAGACGGGGAGGGGGCTACAGAGATGCTATCGGAGACGGGAGAAAACTGAAAACACGAGTCACGATAGCTGTTCGTGGTGTAAGGAGCCCGCAGTCATTTCATCCTCATGGTATTTTTGGACAGGGCAGAGAGTAGGTACAATTAATGGTTTTGAATCGTAAAAGTACAATGCATTTCAATTTCTTTCACAAATAAGATATCATTTTAATTGGGCATCGTTACTTTTCAAGGGATAGCGCCAGCATCACGATTCACGAGGCCATTGAGATCAGAATCGAAACGAGCTTTCAAAAATGTGTCTATGCTCTGAAAAGACGTCCGAAGAGCTCATGTCAGACTTTCTTGGCTAAATTGACGTTTCCATCTGAAGCTGCCAGAAACGCCAGAAGTGTTTCAGAACAAGAGCTTATTGATTATTTTACTTCAGAGCTGTCCAAACAATCTCTACATGCTTCGTCTTCCGATGTGTTTGTAGAACTTCAATAAGCTGGGTATCCGCTGTATGTCGCATTGTTCCTGGCGTTATTGGAATTGCATTCATGGCTGCTTGGTGTTTTTTTCAAGGGCATCCGTATTGCTTAGTTTTAATGCACTCAGAAATATCAATTAAGGATAAATTTGATCAACACCGATTCGCAATTTAACCGACCAATTGTTCAGACGTTTACCAAGCAAGTTCTTGGCTAAATTTTATTGCAAATGTGTTAGAACATCATGGGCTGCACCGTTCAACCGATCAACCTACATCGTGCTGTATGATGCGTCAGCACTGGCATAATCAACAAACCACCATTTTTTAGCTATCTGCAGTATATCTCGCGCGCGGACACTAAGCATGTCCTGTTCCCGTGCTCCACTAGGCCCTCAGCTATAACGAGTCCGAGCCGCCGCAGCTCGTCGGAAGCTCGTCACAGTTCACCGACTGACTGATGGGTCGGTCTGCCGGCGGCCGGCAGGCCCGCGGGACAGATAAGGTCAAACTAAGAGCGCAGCTCCTCATGGGGGCTCGTTCCGGACGACAGGGTGGGGCACTGGTGCGGTCGTCACAGTCGATTTTCTGCGGCAGGTCCGGGCGGTGCCGTGTGAAGATGAGAGACAAGGTGAAGACTGGGGGAGTCTCCGGGGAGCGGCACGAGATTCGTGAACTGCTGTTCGTGAAGGTGACGTGCTTGTCGGCTAATGGTATCAGGTTCCTGAACACGTTACCCTCTCAGTGAGATTAATGGTGCAAACTTAACTCATTTTCGCTGCTTACCAACTACGCTCACTGCAGTCTCATTTCATAAAGAAATGACGAGCTTGAGAACACAAAGTTAATTCTAGCGGTTTAGAGAAGGGTTTTTTCACTCCTTCATGTCACTGTCTATAAAATGAACCATAGGTTTAGGTATAGGTATGTTTCTGCTCTGCAACTGTCTCTTTTAGGGAGTTCAGCTTCCACCTGGCAGAATGCAGCTAAAAACGGGAGGTTTTTTTTCAACGTCGACCGTACTTACCTACTATTGCCAGGGGTGGAGATCTGTCAAAATTTCAGGGGGGGGGGGGTGGTCCAGGCCGGGCAGATGGAGGCGAGCTGGATGCAGTACCATTGACTTACATAGCAGTAATTCGTTTTCATGGGGGTCCTGACCCCCGACCCCCCCCCCCCCCCGAGATCTCCATCTCTGACTATTGCAGGGATGCTCCTAAAAACATCCACTTCCAGAAGTATTGTTCCAAGAATACACAGAGACAATTTCCGTCTCTGTAAATAGGCGCCAAATAACGTCTCTCTCGTTTAGCATGCAGTGCCGGATCTGTATGGTGGTTGCTCGGTTACCTACAGACGGGATAGATATATTATCTGGGCCTGTTCCGCCTGCCCTGAGCACTATTGATCCGATCGAGCTGTAGGTCGAAGACTGTTCGATGAACTTCGGCAGGTTGCTTCTAATTAAACTTGCGAGATTTGACGCAGCTAAGACAGGGAGGCACCCGCCATGCATCTTCTTGTCGACAGCGCTTGGAAGGCTCCTTTTAAATAGACGAAATGTCATGGCGTGGCTCCATTATTTGTGCCTTCATCCATAACAATCATGTGGCCAATGGGGTCATTTTTCTATTCATCACTATGAGACTCATAATTATGAGTGGAGTTTATGCATGTGTAAAGGTGCTCACATACATGGTTCAGCTAAGCATATACGTATAGGTAGGCATTATAACATTTTTGATTTCCATAGCTCTCATCGATATGTGTCACATTTTATCGGTAAAGTTATCATTCAAACTAACGTTGCAGCATCCCAGCTTTGCGCCGGGACGTCGCGACTCCGTTATAGGCTGTCAGTATATCAGGGAGGAGGGCTTGTTTACCACCTCACTGTGCTTGGTTCAATATGCCTTCCCTTAGATCCTCAATTGTGAACATCAGAAGGAGGTCAAACGGCTACTTTACATCTAAAGTTAATTACCCCGGAAATTACCCCGGAAGAAGCATATTTGCTATTTCTGTCAGCATTGAAATTTAAATTTGATTAGCTTACAACTTCACAAATTAGCAGTTCATCTTTAAACGATTTTTGTATTTGTATTTGTATTTGTATTTGTACATACGGTCTCCATTGTATGGCTTTTCAGACCGCGATTGATGGTTCATAGCACACTTAATTATTTCATGGCTGTGAAGCACAAAATGAGACTTTTAAGTTATATACACGTGCTCCCCGTACCTGTCTAATAACGTTGGAACTAGATTGCTAGTAAAAAAACAATCAAACATATTCCAGGCAGCATGTGGCTGATAGGTCAACCCCACAGGAAGTGATGTCTATCACGTTTTCCCAATGCGAGTAGCCTTGCAGTCCAAATGCATGACCTACGTACAAATCAGATATTTTCATCAATCCACACCCCGCATGCTAACCCATAAACAATCAGCACGTTATGATCACCCAATTCGCTGCAGGCGGTATAGACTATAGACCCTCACCCCACGCCGTTCTAAGCATTGCGATTCACAGAAAAATCGACCTTATTGTCAAAGGCTCGCCGGCCGCCGGGCGACGCGTCGGCCGCACGCGCCAGCTCACCTTTTGACCTCTTCGGCTGTAGGTGACGAGTTTCCATGGTGACGGGAGATGGGAAGCGGAGCTTGGTTTGTTTACAATTAGGTCCTTTACTGGATATTCTCGAAAGCAAACAGAGACTGAGCAGCGTTTCTTTTCATTATTTTAAAGTAAATATATCAGGGATTACGCATTTATTTGTAGAATTATTCGACTGCGATAGATAAACAATTTGCATTGCCATATTTGTCAACGAACTGCTCCTAGCGGCGACCTGACGAACTAGAGGGGCTTGTGCGCAGTAAACTGTTCCAGTAGGTGCGAGGGGAGGGGGGTGAATTCTCGTGGTGAAGACATGCCGACGCGACTGTGAGGTTTTAGGTGATCGGTGTTGCTCGCGATGTGCTTTGGTGAGTGGAAGAAGTTTCAGCAGTGTCTGTGCCTCACAGTGCGCGATCACGAGCTCCGGTCGTTATAAAGGTACATTTTGTGCAAGCTTGAGGACATTGTGCTCGGATCGGAGACTCGTGAGTACCATAACCGATGAGTGATTGAACTGGCAGTGAGTTTTGGTGGGTGAGTTGGTTGGGTGAGATTAGTGAAAACACTGTGAGCGTCGATCGCCGGGGAAGAAGACCATGGACTGACTCACGGCTGCTCGTCCCAGCATCCTCCATGGAGCTTCGGATCCTGAACGGTCAGTCCGTTCCAGAGTGGAACGGTATTTCATTTTTGTCGTATATTATTTACATGCATTTAAAGGCGGATCCAAGTGGGCTGATTCAGTGTTTAAAAATTGATTGAATTTAGGTTGACATATTGATCAGCGACAAATCGTCGTCCATCGACCATTCACTACACATACGTTATTGTAATGTTCAGTTCAAGGTTATAGGATAGGTAAGGTTGCGTTTTTCTCTCCTCCAGGTGAGGTAATATACGTCCCCCTCCCCACATTGTTTTGGACATAAATCATCTATGAACATCCAGGTGCGCTCATGACCGAGGTTGAAAAAATTGCTTGCATACAAAGAAGGTAATTCAATTCTTCAAGAGGAAAGGCAAAATTAATGGTTTTATTCAACTTTATCAATGAAGTAACATGCTGATAGAATCTGGCCCACTTTTAATCCATCTGGATCCGCCTGTGATTTACCTCGTGTTCATAATGGCTTTGTCTGGACGCGTGAATTATTTTGGACGGCTGCCAACCCGTGCTCGCGGCTCTCAGCACCGACCGTGACCGGTCGCCGCGGGTACACCGCTCGTCGGGGTCGGGTCAGCCAGCTGACCGCTGACCCGGGGCCGGTGGAGGTCAGCTCGACAACGTCAGCAATACGCACGACAGTAGGCATAACTATTAACTACAATAGGTCAAGCGTTGCAGTACCGAATGGTAAGACGGCAAGCTGAAAGTTTGATAGGTGATATATCTGACGTTTTCAGAGGGACACGAAGTTGGGTGACGTGAATGCATATATTTCTTTTACAAGCTTTCTTTATTTGATCAACCATATTGCTGTGCCTTTTCTCGATTTCAAGCATCGACATCTATGATATTAATTATATCAAGGATGCGTCACGATTCGGTGTCCTTATCCATGATCCATTGCACCAGTACCAAGTATAACATAAATTATTATTTTGTCTTCACGATTAACACAATTCTTGAAATGGGAAATCGCCGTTCGTAGCCATCGCAATCAATGCAACACGATAAAATTCGGCCGACATCACGAGGGGTGCAGTGAACCCTTGGTGCTGAAACCGGAAAGCGATACAGCTTGGGCAATCGGACTACCAATAGGCAAAAAGTACTGCGCCGGCAGCACGTTCCCATGGGAGTTCCGTTGTGCAAACAAGAGTGTCGAGACCTCTACGGCAACCGGCCCGCGTTGGACGAGGCACCGCGTGTTGTTTTTATAGCAGGTCAAGCTTGGTGAGCAATGCATGCATACATGGACTCAAAATAAATTGACATAATTGTAGCATTTTTCGTAGCTTGTCACTTGTTGCCTGCAAGTGAAATGTTCAATCACACTGCTGACAATTTTCGCAATGAGTACCTAATAAGAGGGTTATTCATATCACCTTGCTGGAACTCTAAAATAAATGGAAATTTGGCGTTATGATTGCGCATTTTCTTCATTTGCTTTCAGCTTCGTGCAACTGTGAAAACTTCTTTATTAACTAGGCAGAAAGTATTGTCCATTAAAAGTTTTACTCATATCATGCGAGATGGGCCAGCTTCCCGAAGTTGTGGCACTAAACTACAGGGTGTCCCTGAAGTCTTGAAGCTTTTTCATTTTTGTCGTGTGACCTTGCTATGCCACCGATTAAGGCGAATCATGCCTCAAACGAAAGAGAATGAACTGAAATTTTGTATTTTCATGCGTAGAGCACCACATTAGTCAGGTGGCCCCCGTTGTGAGTCGCACAAGATTGAGCACGAGAGATCACGTTCTTCGCTGCCGCCAAGATCTCCCGGTTTGCGAAACACCGGTGTCGCCATGCCCGTTTCTTGTCAGCTTCAGAGTCTTATTCCCTGAAGCGAGCGACATAATATTAGCGACATATATTTGCGACGGGTTGATATTTGTTTTAGCCCCATAATAATGCAACGAATCAAAGGATTACAACCGGCTGTTGCTTAGCGCGCTCAAGCAGCTGAGCCTTATTTTTGTAATGGATGCGTGCAAACATGTCAGGAGACTTTCTGATCAGTAAATCATTATGTTGCTAATGTTTTCTCCGAGATCCAATACTCTGTTTCCTGGCTCGCTTCATGAAATAAGGCTCTGAAGCTGACCAGAAACGGGCATGGCGACACCGGTGTTTCGCAAACCGGGAGATCTTGGCGGCAGCGAAGAACGTGATCTCTCGTGCTCAATCTTGCGCGACTCACAACGGGGGCCACCTAACTAAAGTGGTGCTCTACGCATGAAAATACAAAAGTTCAGTTCATTCTCTTTCGTTTGAGGCGTCATTTGCCTTAATCAGTGGCATAGCAAGGTCACACGACAAAAATAAAAAAGCTTCAAGACTTCTGGGACACCCTGTAATCATGCGACGCAGTTAAATGAATTCATTAAATAACTTTGAGACTTGCAAAAATTTGCAAGACAAACAGCGGAGACAAAAATCTGTCAATTAAGTCAAAGGGTACTGAAGAAAAAAAAATGGCAGCTCAGAACCCTATACATCATGACATTTCACTTCTGTCGGCGACCATTCAAAAGGCCGTTAAGGGGTATAGCAGCCTCTGTGGTGTCATAAACAAATAAATCCTCCGTTAAAGAAAATGTGCATACCCACATCTCTTCCTCATGTTCGCGGGCAAAAGGTCCAGAGTCAGACATTGGGTAATTTTAAGTTCTCAATTCTTCCCACTTCTCCTGTCGGAAGCAGGTGCCTGGCATGATACTTTTCCTGAATGTCGTCACCATGCACCACGAGTCAAGACGCCTTTCCGAAATCATATCTCATCTAGCAATCTTGATCTCTGGGGTCAAAGAAGCACCCCTGATGCCGCATATAACGCACGCGGAAAATCCGAGCACGCCCGCTGATCTGCAGCGATCGCCTGCATCGCACGCCTTTCCTGGGGCGCATCCTTCCTACCAGGGCAGCCGTGCGCGGCGGCTTGGTGCCCTCTGTCGGCCGGCCTGTCGCGGGGCTGTCAAAAAGTGCGGGCGCCGGATGGCACCGGGACGGCCTCGCTGTCGACACGATCCTGATCCTCCCACGGTACCGGCGGCCTGGGTTTCCGCAAAAGTATACTACAGAGGACGTGAGTCCGGAGCGTGATGACCAGCCTGTACCGGCACATGAAGGAGCTTTCCCTGCTGTGAAATGACCGGCGCTGAGCCGATCCAACCGGGCCGTCTCACGGCGGCGGCGCTATCGCCACAATCGCACGTGGTCCTCTGCTTGCACCCGAGCTGAGCACCGTGGCCGCCCCGGAAAAAGGCGGCGCCGACCGCGGCCGTGCCGTGACGTGACACAGCTCTGTGCAGACTCAGAGGGCTGCAGCTCGTGCGTGGGAACGTGCTGAGCACGGCTCCACCCGGCCGCACACGCCAACCTCTGACCCCTCACGAGTTCCGGTCGCGGTGCACCCCACCCCTCCCCTCCCCTCCCGACCCCGCGAGCGGGCTGGGATCTTTGCATCGGGGCGTTTTCGCTGGGTTTCCCACGCCCCGGCACATGTATGTGATTGTTACGGTCGACAGAGGGCGAACCATGGGACAGGTAAGGGGTCACCATGGTGGGAGGGGGGAGGGTGTCCTCCATTTGTGTCCGGACAAAGGTCTGACCTGACTGTGCTGGCGGGCTACTAATTAATAATTATTTGTGGGCTGAACCGCCAAAGGTCGCCCATTTGCGCGTGTGAAAGGGCGCTGACAGCTCTTTTCTATTCAGTGATGTGCCAAAGATAAACTGTACCTAATGAGTACAAGTGGAGTTGGCCACCGTTTCCAGAGCGCTGTTCGTTCATTAGCTTCCCACTCAAGAGTGTGTTTTTGAAACTGAACGAAATTCGTTTTTATTTATTTTTTACTCTACTGATTCGAAAAAAAACGCTGCACGTAAGCTGTCATTCATAAAAATTCACACAAATGTCTACAAGAAGTATATTTTGAAAACAATATGCATAACTGCATCAGTCTTAGTCGCATTTCGTAAGTTATCGGTACATGAGATATTGGTAGGTATAAGAGATTGGTATATGAGAGAATTGAAAACCACTTGCATGTTTTGTTAAATAGACGGTTTTGCAGGGTGATGTCTCCGATGTCAACCATATTCAAGGTTGGTTTTTCAAAACAGCGACGTGATAAATGCCCTCACATTACAGTCCATACAGTCACAAAATATATCTGCGCTATCTGACCCTATATTTTCATTTTTATTAGCGAAAGGCTGGTCGAGTGAATGGGGACTCATACATTTGGCAGTTCCTGTTTCGATCATATGTTGTAGAGATAGGGTGACATAATGACTAAACTCTGTGCGACTCGAATCCTATTCGTAGTGATTGACTATTATAGTGAGCACAATTTCAGATAGCAGTTAAGTTTGACTTAAACAGACACCAATCGACTCTGAATTCGGGCTTTGTTCTGTATTTTGAGACTTACGCTGATTGGTTTCATTCCAACTATGGCTGCAGTGATCTAGTTATTGGTTAATAAGTTGCAATTATCCACGCTGCAATCAAAGATAATTGAATTAAGCTGTTGTTTGTCTTGGTTACCAGTAATTGGTCAGTCGATATTGAGAAAGTGAACAAGTGATCTTAAATGAAATACCAATTTAAATGACCACATAATATACGGAAACACGTGAGCCAAAGATGCATGTTCATTGTTCACTCATCAGGTCACCAGGTACTGGTTGAAGAACAGGTGAGCAGTAAAAAGGACGTAAATAATTTCAAGAGAATAGTGTTCAAGTCTGCTCTCTTCCTCAGGCCAAGGGCGCTCTATTTCCCGTCACAGTTTCCAGAGCCAAAGCTCTGTCCTTTGACAAAGCATCCCTTGTCAGCATGCTTTAAACGGCCTTTTCCAATTCCCCTGTCCGAGCTGTTTCCCGCTCATTATAGATGTTTTACTCTAACCCCGAGCTGAGGGTCATTCATCTTCTCAAAGAAAGGTTCCTCTCAGGCTTGGCAGAGCTGACTTCCTTACATTGAGGCAGTTATTTTCGTACATGTATTAAATGAAAGATGCGGGATTTAGGATAGAATGGCGCGCAATCCATGGCAAAGCAGCCGAGTTCACAGCCTAAATAAACTTTATTTGATTCGCGGTACCTGAGATCTATCTGAAGAATGACCGTTTCATGAGGTATTCGCTTTTAAATCATCAAAATTGACCGAAGCTTTTATACAGTTTGTTGTCATGTTCAGTTAGGTAAAAAGGTTGTGTGGCCTTTTACACTAAATTAAGTTTTATCTCAGATGCCTGTGAGTGGCTACACGTTTAGTCTTATCGCATGTGCATCATACCATTGCAAATAAAGTTTATGAAAGTTCAACAGTCAAACAACGAACCTTGATCCGTACCTATCTTACAGTATGATGAGACACACACGACCCCAGCCATTCGACACTCACCGTCCCCTAATACCAAAAATCTGAAATATGCCATGAGGCCCGAAGTCATGCCTCTAACCTCCCAAAGCCACCCGTATCCCCAGCACACTGACCGCTGCTGGTCCTCGGTGAGCAGTTTGAAGTAGACCAAACTGACGGACGCGTAGGCCAGACAGAACAGCGCCAGCTCGCGGTAGATGAGCTTGTAGAGCGAGCCGCGCCACTTGAGGAGGAGACGCGTGAACCCGCCGCTCGTGGAGGACGCCACCTCGTTCTGGTAGGACACGGTCATAGTGGAGAGGTGGGGGACCGCTGAGGTCACTGCTGAGGTCAACGCAGGTCAACGCTGAGGTCACCGCAGGTCACCCCAGGTCACCAGTCGTTGGACGGCTATGTCACCGGAGCGGCCGCCGACGGGACCTCCGAAATGGTTTCCAATAGGATCACGAAATCCGTTACCGAAAGGTTGCTGATACGGCAATCAATGCCGTCATCGATTCTGATTCGGGAAGGCCTTGCTGATTTTCGACGATCTCAGCATTGTGATGGCTGTTTACGTCTTATTACCAAAGTTTGTGGCGATAACGTCTAATTAACAAACTCTTTGGCGTCAAACTTTGCCAGACAGTGACACTGCGACCATTCTCCCAGCGACTTCAGTACTGGACGGCTACTCCGGCTGATCTGTCACCATTCATCACTCTGTCGCTAGTTCATGTCACTCTGTCACCATGCGGCACGCGAAATGTCGAAAAGTAGACACTTCTCACTTCAGCATCTGCATCACGCTTAGCTCAAATCACGACACTAGAATCACCATTCCGCTACGGACTTCAGGTCGCTACAAACCACTCGCTACTCTCCTCACACTTTCTCTGTACCAACGCGTCGGATAGCAGTGTCCGTTCTGGCCTGGCGTGTCCGCCCGTCACGGCCGACGCGTCGTCGGTCACTACCGCCGAACACCGTCGCCACCGCTGCGTCGGAGCCGACGCGTCGTTACCGTCGCGTCGGAGCGTCGTTGCCGTCGCGTCGGAGCGTCTGCGCGTCGCGGTATACCGCCGGCGGGGCAAGGAAGCAACTATCGGACGCCAATTGACGGGGCGGCGACTGGGTGGCTGTTGGCTGCCGCTGCCCCACACCGCAGCTCGGCGGATAAAATTAACCCGCCGTCGGCAGAGAGGCCGACGGCGGCTGGCGTCGCCCCGGCTCGAGAGGAATGGAGTACGATGACCGCAGAGAGGTCAGATGCGGACAGAAACATCCGTACGGCTGCTGGGTGTCCGACAGAAGGCCGGGGGAGGCAGACGGTCAGCTGAGGTTCAGAAGATGTGCAGGAAACTGTCTCCACGTGATAGTTTACTGGGAGAATCGCCCTCATCTCGCTGTTTGGAAAACATTAGGACCAATGATGGCTACAAACGGCATCTTGGCCTGTCGAACGAAATAAATCCAATGCTCGAACTTCGATCCGATTCCGACTGGACCTGAAGCAGGCCCTGTAAGCCTACTGAATGATGTCAGATCTCTGGAACAAATTGCATTCCTTGTATGGGCCTTTGCGAATTTCAATGCATAGAGGAGCCTTAATATGGACCGCTCCACTTATGTCAACTATCAAATGCAGAAACATGTTTTGGTCTCATAACCCGCAAATTAAAAGGAATCAGTGTGTCCGTGCACGTGAATCATATCATCTATATAAGCGAAAATGTTGTAACATATCTTATTCTTTCGAATCGAAAAAAATTGATGCCAATATGTAGTGTAGATGCTGATCATTAGAAATGCAGGGGCCGGGTGTCCGGCTCGGGTACCTCCCCTCCTCCCACACCCACAAGAATGAGCCGGAAGAATGCAATTTTCGCTTACTGCAGATGAGAATTGAGACGGTAAGCGTAGGTAATTTGCAATTTGCATATACTGGTGACACTTTTATTGCGATTCTTATCCCTCTCCGCGCTCCGTTCTGCACAAAGAATTAATAACTGCCTACACGTCACCGTTTCTCTGTCCCAGTGTTCTCGCTGCCTCTGCTGGTGCAGCTACCCCGTATCGTCGACATATGTTGGCGCGGCCCGCGCCAGATACGCCGTATCGCCTGCGAGCGTGTACACGGTGCACAAAATTCAAGTGCAATCCAAACAGCACGTGCTGACCGCAAACAGTCGTCGGCGGCGGCCGGTGAACAGAGGTATCACGAGAAGACAGCTCATACTCGTGTGCGACTGCCAAGTGATGAGAGATGGTAGGGCGCGTTACGTGGTTTCTGGTGAACTGACGAAACAACTCAGTGTGCAACTGGAATATCACCTTATCAAGAATCGCGCATTTGTATCAGAATCTGATCCAGTGACCGTCGGATTGTGAATCGTTCTGCGGAAAGGTGTGGCCTGGCTCCTCGCCGAGTTATTACAGAAACTAGTCGGCATTTGATCTCTTGCACTTCTGCTGCTCACCTAAGGCTGATATTCTAAGTATCGACCATGTGACCTCAGTGCTGTATTCCTAGTATTATAGAAACTCATTTACATCACAGACCGAAGCGCAGTTGAAAGCACCCACAGTGACACGTGCCGACACCAGCCGTCCTTTGAAGCTCGCCCGGCGTTTGCTCGGCCCGTGACGTCACTGCACGCCTGACCAGCTCTTCTGCCGGCGGGCGCGCCTCGCCACAGGAGGGGCGTTTGATCTGACACACCAATCTATGGTCGAACGCCAGTGGCGCTTTGTACCGTGTGTTCAAACAGCGCCGTTAGCTGAACTCGAGTGTATTTTCCACCGATGTTCCACTGTGACCCGACTCGGCAGCCATCTGGATATCACGCTACAATGAAAGACCGGCCAACCCGAGCTCACCGGGGCACCGCGGCAGACGGAGACTCGGGCGCCACACTGGAATTCTCTAAAGATTGGAGCCCTGCGCGAGGGAGTGCGGCGAGCCGCCCAGCACTGCTCTTTCTACGCGAACCTCCCCTAAACCAGGCTACGTTGCTACCCAAATATAGTGACTACGACCAAACAACAACGTGCTACCCCGTATACAAGCGTTCACGTGACTACGGTCAGATCGGTAGGCAGGTCACACGTTAAAGACGAGATTCAGAACTCGCGTGTTCTCTTGATGGCAACACTGTTTGCGAGCGAATCATGCAAATGGGAAGACATTTGATTTGTTGTTGAGACGCTTCAGCGCCTGAACACTCATGTCTCTATTTTGAGCACACACTAAGCTAATCGCGACCCATGGCGCACACAGACACACACTTACAGCCTTAACCTGTCTCAAACGCACACACAAACGCCCAAAACGGTGAGATCATGTCTCGCCAACAGCCGACGCCGTTTCACCCGAACTCCGACAGGCCGCGCTCGCGTTGGCCCGTCAGATGTCGCGTCGATCGCGCACAATCACCAGGGCCTCCAGGAGTTGGGATCGGCAGCGGCCGCCGCCTTGCTGACGACCGGGCGGAACGCCGAGGCCGACGCGGACTTGGAGAGGTTGATGGGCCCGTCGGACGGCCCGGCTGGCTCCTCCTGGTCACTACCACTCGACGAGGAGCTCGTATCAGCAGCGGCGGCAGCAGCAGCGGCAGGTGGGGGGACGGGCGGCCGCGGCGGCGGAGCGGCGAGCGGTCCGACCAGGGGCGGAGCCAGTGGAGCAGGTACGGGAGGCAGCACGCGCAGCGGCGCCGCCAGCGGGGCCATCGTCGGCCCGGCCACCAGCCGGTCCAGGTGTGAGTTGAGACGGTGCAGGACGGCCGGGTCAGTCTCCTGGCTCGACTGCAGGTAGTCATTGATGACAGCGCGCGCCGACATGTAGCCCTGGTGAAACATCTTGACCTCCGTGTAGGGGTCCGGACGCCGACTCGACCTGAGGAGAGACGAGACAAAGTAAGGAGGCGAACAGCAAACAGAGGAGATTGCTGGACAGATGACGGGCTAGCCAATGTAATTCGAGCTGGATCACGATAAGCAAATAGGAATCCCAATGGGTCACATCTGAATCGACCAACATTCGAAACAAGCATCATGGTGTCAACTGTCAAGGACATTTTGGTCTTTTCAGGACGTGGGCGCTCCCACATCAGAGCCTCTGACGCAACATCACGAAACAGTCTCGAGTGTCGTCAGTTCACCGTGATGTTATCTAAAATGACTGGGCTGGTGACAGCGAAAATTGTGTCGCGAAATATGAAAAGCGGTGGAAATGAAGTGAAAACTACTGACGACTGGAAGTGGGTTAGTTGTTGGTTTGCCTGTGCACGCATCTGATTCGACTGGTCTTAGGTCTACTGGGATATTCATACGCAAGTGGGGAATCCGGAACCCTAAACAACGGCGCAGATCGTGCCCTGCAAGGAAATGAGCCGACGCCTTCCGCTGCTGGCAATGAATTCTCGACATTCGTATCAAAATTGCTTAAAATGTTGGGCATAACATGTGTGTACTTCTTAGAATCCGATCCGTGGCGTATGTGAGCTCTATTCTCCGGGTGCACGGGTTTTTTCGGTTCATTTCATGACAAGGAGCACGCAACATGCCGGCTCATATTTTGGGATATTTTTCAAGGAACTTTCAGAAACTTACACGGCGGAAAATCAAAGCCGAATGTGACCAAATGACCGTAAATCAATCACGGTGTCGCCTGATCTGATGATCGATTCAGATATCTTTTGACAGGTGTGATGGCGAAAATCATACGGAGACACCAGTCAAGAAGGCCAAGGGGACAAGTCGAGTTTCTGATCAGAGTGTTTCCGCCGTTACCTCAGAAGCCAACAAAGGAAATCGAGGCATCTAGATGAATTTCGCATGAAAGCACGCGATATGAGCAATGAGCATGTATATTAAAATTACCGGTATAGTACACCAGTCCCGCGCGAAAACTTAAACAAAAATAACTACCAAAAAACAACACGTGGGTATAGCGCGTAACCCAGAAGCTTTCAAATCCACTGTAGCACGCCACATAATTTAGTCGTTGAACGTTTAACATTCAAACGATTCACCCGCCCGTTCTCACGAGTAAGCTATGCGGCACGGAAGGCACGGTAGAAGCCATAGGGGTCATTATCACGTGGTTTCTGCCGGAGGTTTCGCCTCAAGAGGCACGCTGCAGTAGCTGACTTTACGGGCTGAATGATAATGTGCATTTACTGCACAAAACTGCAGGCTCTAATCGGGGTAATGAAACGTCGGCGGAATCCGCAGGGCATGTGCCGAGATTCGGACGATTCGAGCCGCAACTTTGGGGCAGCAGCAGGCCCAGGGGCCGGTGCAATATTTATGGTACACCTTCGGGGACATGGCGATTTACGACAGGCAAGCAGAGCGAAAATATGGGTGGTCAGGAGCCGGTGTGTTGCAGCGAAAAACGCCAGAATCGCTGCAAATAACGACCCAGAAGAGAGGCGCGCGGAGCACCCTGCGCGCTGCCCCGCGCGCTACCAGCAGCTCTCCCCAGTAGGGGCGCCTGAAGGCTCTAAAGAAAGGCCCCCTGTCCGCGCTCGGGTGTCTGGCGCCGCACGATCCCATGCAGGTGATCGCTGCTGTCATGTCGGCAAGGACATTTCAGCAGTCTGCAGACGCTCCTGCGCCGTCAGCCACCGTTCCCATGGATCCCAACCGACAGCGGGCGACATTTTTTTCCGGCACCGTTGTCGAACAAACTCCTAAATAACTTTGGCTCCAGCTGTGTGTTTAAAAACCGCACACCGCATAACTGGATCCCTGTGAACGGGCGGCATCGGTGTTGATCAGTGCTGCCGTCAGTAGAGCATTTTTACGCAGGGATACTGTGGATCAATTGCAGAACACTGGCCGAACAGGAGACAATGCGCTACCCTGGGCCGGCCCGCACCGCGCGGTGGGCTCTGTTCCCCGTTCGAGCGATATTGCTCAACACGGGACGGTGGGACTGACGGGGATTTCTTGGAGTCTTCGCGTTCCATTAATACCTGTTATCAATGAAGCCATTGTGCCTAAGTACAAAGAAATCGCTGAAGGTCATAAAAGAAAAGGGAAATCGGCACATTACGTAGATTTTGAGTTAAACTAAATGAAGAATTTCTTTCACAATTTCTCCATAGAAATGGCCAGCAAAACGAGGTTATGGCTCATGTTTCTGCCGGCGCAGGCGCTGTATCTTCCCAAAATACTTCCACCATTTTCCCGAAAATGAGAAAAATGAACTCTTAAAATGAATCCAAGTAAGCGTGAAAGGATTTCACCGATATTTCACGTTACGATGTGATTCTTACAGCTATTCAGGAAGACTCCAAAATCCATCAAATTTCCGTTTCTAGGAAAGCCAGAAACGTCTCCATTTCCCGTCATGAGCCTGCACAACTTGTGAACCCTGCTTATCTCCTTTCCCCTATCATAACGCCGCCCCTGGCCTGCCACCGCTCCTGCTGACACCGGCTATCGCGCTGAACGGGCGTGGGTTTTTGCGCTAATCTCATTAGCGGCAGTGCGGAGTCGTGATGCCCGTATCTGCGACCAATTAGGCCCGGGCCGTGGTAGCGCTCTCACCGGGGACTGGCCGGGTCGTCCGGTTAGCCGCCGACACCACGTGGATGGGAAGAGAACGAAAGGCCACAACGGATTCCGGAAACTGAACCGGTAGTCTTACAGGGAATCACATCGGGAAATTACCAAATGTTTAAAATCAGCGACCATCGGCGGTTTTCAAATGATATGTGTCTTTGAGAATACCTACTCATCGTTATCACTGAATGCGCATTGCGCCGATCCATGGCATCTGCTAGGTATTTAAATTAATGCCCACCTCATTTGCAAAGATAATCAATAAAAATGAATCCCCTCCCGATCAGTCCGGCGATGTGGGCGGCGATGGACGGGCCGGGCGGTGCCATTTCCCGTTCCCACGAGCGAGCTCGGTGTCTCTTCACGCTCTGCCGCCCCGCCCACCGGTGGTATCTGGCTGTTAGTGACCGACTGTCACATCGCAAACTGTCACAGTGGCGGACTGTCACATCGCAGACTGTCATGATGACAGTCACAGGGCGGATCGCGTTCGGTGACAGTAGCCGCCCGTACTGAACATTTCGCTCCCAGTGATGTCCGCTTCAGCATGGTCTGACTTGTGTTAAACGTGCTTAGCGTCAATACCATACTACTGCTCGTCTATACGATCAACCGATCACGCGGTGCGTTAGACTGTGCGTTAGACTGTATTTTTTGCACCCTCTCTCGGCGACTTTAGTTTAAATGGCGACGATGCCTCGACTGTGACTTTCCTTCCAACAGTGCTCTGTGTCTCTGTTAGACTGCAATCCATGGCCGTGTCCCTCTAGATTCCACTCATTGTTTCGTTCTCATCCGCTCCACCAGTGTGCAGTGTGAAACTGCACATAGTCAGTTGATGTAGTAGGGTGACGCCCCGTTGTCAGCACTCAGCTATGCACCGCAAAATGGGCGTTGACACATTCCCATCGGCAGTGGATAAAGACCGCGGTTCCCGCATTGCTTCAGTGAATGACTGAAAGGTTTGGATTTTAAAATTAAATAATTATCAAATACAAGTGCGAAGTTTTTTTACGAATGCAATCATCACTCAGACCCAAGTCGACGACGACGTCTATTTCTATATCAGTCCAGAGGCGGTGAGGCGGTCCTCCCAGCAGGAGCCCGCCTCATAGAACCCAGCCCTGGGGACCTGCCACATGGGTCCAGCCGGGCTGCTCTATGTTCAGGGACGGAAGCCACTCAAACGTCCGACGGCCCCACTAATCTGCTCATCTGCCGGCGGGTTCTCCTCAGGGCGCCATTCACAGGCTTCAGTCCTGCCCACCCTCGGCCGTGCGTCCTATCTGAATTTTCCGGTCCTCTTCTCGCTTGCTCTTCCCAGCTCTCGGACCTTTGTCATCTTTCGCAGATCTCTGTGTCGTGGCCCCCGGCCTGCTCTCAATCCTCCTCCCTCTGGCCTCTGCCCCTGGCTACCAAGACCTCTGCCCCCATGCCCTAGGTCTCAGGACCATTTGACTGTACACGCGCCGCCGCCGGGCCCGCGTGGTCCGGCGGTCCCGCCGTCCGGTGGCCTCGCCACCTCGCCATGGGAACGGGCGCTCTCGTCCACTGGAATGCCGCCGGGCGTTCCCACACGTAGCGACGGACCGGCGGCGCTGACGCCTGATGACGGTTGCGTCGGGGTGATGACACCGGTGACCGGCGCGTCATCACCTCGGCGTCACGTCAACGCGCCGGCGCGGCGGTCACGTGACACGTCACGGGTGGTATGGGACTGTGATGGCGCTCACCCAGGGCGGGTGTGGGACCGTGGGTTCACGCCAGGCGTGGGACCGTGGGTTCACGCCAACGGCTACAGTGGGAACGGGCGGAAGGGAGCGTGACCGGCCGTTGGTAACAGCCCGTGCGTGAGGACAGAGGATACGCGTTCGTCGGCGGTTGGAGAAGACGACTGTTATTTGTAAGTTGTCTTGATTCGACCGTCAAGCCGTTCAAAATCGGCTGCACTTTGAAAAGGAGAGATGAGGACCAGCTATTTTGAAATCAGTCAGGTTATACCGAAATATGTCACCCAAAAAATATCAGTATCTAGTATCTACCTCATGGAATGGTTTACCCTACAACCGGTGATACCCAAGATTGCTGCTTCAGACAAATGTCCAGTAGCGACAAGTCAAATGGCATGTCTCTTCGTCACCTGCATTGTTTAAGAACATTGAGTTCTGAGGCTGCGGGGACTACTAATCAGCGTCCAGCGCTCTCCAAATAAACATGACCCAACAACCTTGAGATAAATATTCTGAAAAGATACTACACTATTCCTACGAACAGGTGGCCGAATTGACCTCCACTTGCACTGCGCGGCCGTTGGTAAAACGTGGGAAACCGCCGGCAACCGCAGTACATTTCCCTGCAGAGATCAGCCAACCATGCAACAACTTCACTTCCAGCCCAACACCGCGTCACTCCCGCTGAGAATAACAAACCCGGCGACCCACACGTTTGTTCCACAGCACCACCGATAGTACCCGTGTAAGCCCAATCTGGCACGCGCGCGCCGTGGGAAACCGCCCCACCCAGCACCGTCCCGGACTTCCGACTTACATCAGTTGCTTGTGAATGTGCTTCACGGCCAGCTCCAGCACTTCCGCCTTGTCCATGCGCGAGACGAGATCGTCGTCCCTGGGCGCGCGTGGTCCCGGGCCGCTCAGCTGACCCGAGATCAGGTCACGGATCTCCTCAATGCAGAGGTTCATCCGGGCGCGCCGCTTGCGCTCCATCAGCGGCTTCATCAGCTGTGGAAGGAGAGACGGGACAAGTTAGAGATCGAGTCTTAGTGGAATGTCACTTGACAGTGCTGGTGGAGAATTGATAGTGTTCAATGTGTCCACGATATAATTAATCGAACGCCAGTAAAATCGAAGTATTTCCATCGTAAGGGTATGTGTTGTAATTATGTGAACGCTTAAAATGTTAACACCGGCATGTGAAGGCCAGGAATCAACATTATTGTTAGAAATCATGCTCAAAAACCGCAAACGATATTCAATGCAATATTCAACGACGCAGCAATTTGCTGCAAAACTGAACAGAAAAAGCAGCCCTGCCAAGGGAGCCCGCTGTAGTGGTGACGATTTTCATGCATATAGCTCAAAGTTTGCAAACTTCAAGGAGAAAATTCAGTTCCTTTATGTAATGTGCAGGTTCGAGTGGGCCTGCCAGCGTGGTAAATTATAAAACATCCCAACGTAGACCACAGCCTACATACAGCTACCGATGAGAAAACCACCTGGCGCAGTCCTCCGTCCATGAAAACGACCATGCTACTAAAACCAACCTTGCGCATTTTATGTTAACTGCAGATACCACGAAAAAGAAAAAGACTTTAAGTAGCAAAGAGACATGGTCCCGCAGTGACCACCGGGTTGTTCTCATGCTGCAGCTCAGCCTGACATCCACCACCGACCACCGAGCAATGGTGAGACTATGGATTAGGCATGCGGCCCTCGGCAATTAAAAATCAATCACCGTTAGTGCGCCATCACGTGGCACCTCGCTGCTGCAGACCCAGTCGTCCTGTTCTCCGTCTCCTGCGCACGCCAGAGCGGCGTGCAAAACAGCCAGCCGTGAAATAAGCAAACGCGCCCCGGCGGCGCCACACTGAGGGGTCAAGTGAGATAGCATGCCACCGGCCGAAAACAAACACTTGACGCGCCGACAGCGGCGGATGGCCGCCACTGCTCCGCCGGATGTGACCCCGACCCCTCCCCCAGGGGTCGGAAAGGGATCAAAGTGCGCCGCGCGCCGGGTCAACCGGGGCGCCAATGTGGACGGCGGCCGGCGGTTGATGGGTACCTTTTTAACAGCATAAGCTAGCGGAAACGTGTAGCGCGCTGACGATTTTGCTGATGCTTGATACGGACCACCCACAAATGCAAACTCTACTCCTATCAACACATAATCCCACGTGTGCCTTTCCAGCAACGCGGTGCAGTGTGCACGTTTCGCTGATATCCGTTCCGAGTTTGTCGCTACGCTCTGACAACTCACGATCGAATGCGTCATCAAATCATGTCGATCGCACCAAACACTGCTTCCGCTGATGGCTGTCGAACAGACGAACCCGGCGCACGCCAGGTACGGTTCATTTTGATTACCGCGTCTGCCTCTCGCCGAGGCGCCGACGCGTTTTTGATTACACCCGTACTTCTCCAGAAGCTATAATCATATTGCTTTTTGCGCCCAAACGGTCGCGGCTGGGCTCCAATATAAACACGGACCCCATTAGCCGGCCGGGTCGCGCCCCCCTGGGGACGGCTCCGCCCCTTTCAGCGCGGGGACCTTGGGAGACCATTGGGGTTCAGGGTCAGAGCTGTGGGTGTTCAATGGGGGACTTTTTAGGCATCTCGTGGCAAGTTAGTACTTCGTGGCTTTTTTACAAATGTATGTAACAATGTAACATGGACTAACATGTAACATGTAACATGGACTGACATGCTATACACTTCTGTAAAACATCGAATTCAAACGTTCCAATACATCAAATTCATCAAATTCAAACATAAAATTATCACATTAAATTCACCCATGAACTGTCTTGCCAACCATCGTCAGGCAAAGTTCAATGCGCAACGAACTGCGCTCTATCGGCTGGCTCACAGAAGTGACGCCGAAACTGATGATTTCCGGCCACATCAGCCGTGACGTGACACCATCTGAGTGATGTGGACCCACCGCAGGCGGCAGCCGGGCCACCGGAGGCGAACATACCGCGTGTATACAGACGGCCCGGATCGCAGGAGCGGTCACGCGTGAACACATAAATACCGAGAGAGTCGGCCGGACGGGACAGGACGGACAGACTGAACAGACAGACGAACAGACAAACGGCCAGACAGACGGACACACAGACACAGTGACAGGACAGACAGGACAGGACACAGGACAGATATAACGAGACGGGATTGAAAACGGAGAGCCCAGCCAACGACATTAGCAATGTGCTTTTCATGCGCTGCTTGGGACCAGGTGCATCTAACTCACTTCTTATCCAGAGAACTATTCATGTTTCAAGGGACCTGAGTTCCCTTGGATCTCATGGGAAGCGTGATTTCGAAGCCACTGCGCACAGAATGTTTGTGGATGATGTTTATGTGGCGCAACTCATGAGGGCTACAAATTATATACTGCTCAAGTCACGGAGGGTGAGCTTTTCAAATGTCGCAAGTAGAAAGTCCTATAGAAAAATTATCGACAAAGATGCCTCCTTGTTGGATATTGTTCAATTTCGGTAAAATATGCTAGCTACTTGTGAGCAGAACACGATCATATAAATTGTTTAGCCCCACTCTCAGACACGGTGTTTTTCTGCTGGTCTGTTGCGTCTTTCATGGTGCGATGAAGTGCCGTCGGTGAACCATAAGAAGCCAGCGATGCGGCACAATCGGCCCAATCAGCGACAGGCGAGCTCCAGGGTGAGGCCACCCCAAACTTTCGTCATCAGAGCTGATACGGGATCTCGACACGGCAATTAATTAATGGGCTCACCCGCATCTAACTCTGTCGTAAGCTTAGAGGGGACTGACAGCGCAGTATCAATGCCGCATCTAAATAAAGTGACAATAAAACAAGTGTACTTTGTTATCAACAATAGTAAACAAGTGTTCGTAGTTGGCACCGAAAGCCGTTTTTATGTTGGGAACCATGTATTCGAACACAGCTATGCATTGCTGCTAATTGTTGGATGGCCCGGCATGAAACACCCGTTAGAATAAATATAACTCATCTAAATTATTGTCTGTTCCACACAAATAAGGAGTTTATGATTTTATCACTAAAAAGTCACAGGTTATAAAATTATCAGATTTCGCACTTACGGTATACAAAATTGCCATGTTTGGCATTTCTTCTATCTCGAACGGTCGTCTAGGGCAAGCCGTTCGAATGGTCACGCTCGTGTTTGAAATCGAAGACAGATGCAATAGTCACATTCATAAGCAATACAATAGGTTAAGAGCACTCTCTAATCACCAACTGTAAGTACGCCCATAAACCGCGTGGAATAACGGACTTATCCTTCACACACGTTCTGTCCCAATTTTATCTGGATACCATGCCACTAGCCGCCTTTTTCGCGCAGAGCTCAAGATTAGTGACTTTCTCTCAGTCCACGGTTACTGCAGAATTAACCCATTTCCATACACTCTCTGTCCACCCAGAGATCCTGAATATGCGTGCGATCCATTCGCAACGCGTACCAACCGGCCTGTCGGGCGCGCACAATGACAAAAACGCGAACACCAGTCCGCTATACACGGTCCTCATGCAATCCCATTCTCCAATCCGGATAATACCTGCATGGTGCATAGAATTCTCACGGTCGCCGATCGTCCGGCGAATGCGCAAGTACGTTCGCTGGTCCGTCGCCGATTTTTCGCACGAGTCTCTCGGCGGGGTATTGCGGCGTCCAATGAACGGCGCAGAGCGGAGAACAGGACTGGTCTGGCGTTAATCCCTCTGCCAGCGCCGCGCTGCACGCCACAGCGACACAGACAGGCCGCCTGCACGTGAATGCGTGACCACATTTCAATCGCGCTGGCTGTCTGTTCTCAGGCGGTCGTCGTAAGTCACAGCGAGCCACCCTCGAGCGAAGGAGCGAGCCAGAGGCAGCGTGCAACAGATCAGAGGCGGGCTAGAGATCATAGGCCGGCAAGCGGCAAGAGACGAGCAAGCGCCAGAGGCAGCGAGTAAGAGGTTAGAGGCGAGCGAACAGCCAGAAACGGCGAGCAGATCAGGGGTGGCGAGGGAGCGATCTGAGGGTGGCGAGGGAGAAATCAGAAGTCGGGGAGCAAGCGATCAGAGGCTGGCGAGCGGTCAGATAAGAAGGTGGCGAGCGAGAGATACCTAAGGAGTTGGAAGGGAGAGATAAGAGGGCGGCTAGGGCAGCGGGAGGTAACAGAGGGAGGTGGCGAGCGATCCTCGGTCGAAAGGGTGGCTAGAGGCGGCTAACAAGAAACCAGAGGCGAGCGAACGGCCAGAGGCGAGCTAGAGATCAGGGGTGGCGAGCCAAAGCCACCCTCGAGCGAAAGGGCAAACTGGGGACACCGGACAACTCCACAGGGATCAGCGGTGGCGATGACAATGAGCGAATGGGGTGGCGATAGAGCGACTGTGAAAGGCGTAGAGCTGACGAGAGCGACCACGGGCGGTCTCTCCGGGCAGGGCGGATGAGAGACGGATATGCAGCGGTGTGTCAGCGCGATGTTTGAACGTCACGCGGGAACAGCGTCACGGCGTGATCCGCTTTGCAGCGGCGTCACGGCCGGGCGTTACCGGTTGTGCGTCACGGTGGGATTTGGGGCGCGGAGTGTCATCGGAAACGTCGCCACTCCCGCGTGAACATGACACATGACCCGCAGGACACCCACGACACGGAACACGGCAAAGCCGACACCCGGGAGGTCGGCGTGTGAACGAGAAGTGTCGGGTCACTGACAGATCGAAGAGGACCTGTCGGATCAGGGGTGGGCGCACAGGACACCTGACCCCGCCGTCTCCCGCTCCCCGGCTAATCCACCGTCGCGGGGAGAGGATCGTCTCCCACGGGTCTCCCGGCTCCGCGGACCGCCGCCAGTCGGATTCGAATCGGTCGGGATCCCCCAGCTGTCGAACAAGTGCGGCGGGGAAGGAAGCGGGAGAGGCGGAGAAGGCGAGCCGCCCGCCGCACTGCGGAGAGATTCCCACGGTCCCAGTCGGCCTGGTTCGTGTGACTCAGGGAATTGTGCACACGTGTGTGGGAGACCGGGGCCAGAGCAGCACCAGCTGAGAAAACACGTGACCCACCAGAGAAAACACGTGACCGGCGACAAAGGTGACAAGGCGGCGACAAAGGCGCGCTCGGAGCGGCTGGGAATTGGTCAGAGCCGGAAAATGGCTGATAGACCGCGAGACGGCTCCGTCTGAGGGGACTCGTATACAGCAGGTTGAGTGGAAAGGTCTTGAAAACGGAGATGTGTTCCACGAAATCCCATATGAAAAATTCAAAAAGGGATTGCAACGAACTGGCCAGCACACTTCTCACAGAAACAAATTAAAAGAAAAACTATAAAAAATAATGTCCCAGAGAACTCGGATATCTAGGTGACACGGAGACTGATCAAATGAGCCAGTGTTCCCGACAACCCTAATCCACGAGTGTATAGCACACCGCTGCAGGCCGGCAGTCCCTCGTGCAATGCTATTAGACGTGATCATCTAAACAGAGTCCTGACAAGCGGCGATGGAGTGGGACAAACAAAACTGACATGATCACTTCGCTCATATTCTAAGCATGACAAAGCATGGCATTATGGCCTGTTTAGACGACTTACTGATCCATGAGAATTTGGAGGCTATAGATTTCGGCTATCCCTCGGTACACATTGCCGGTCAAAGTGGCAGTCTCTCGAAATGCGCGTTTCCGGAAGTGACAAACAATCGATGAAAACGAGTTATGAGTCACTTATTAAGCTGTTGGCATGCCGCTAGCTACTCGACATAAGCAGAATCACTAGCTAAATAAAACACTGCAGTAAACAAAGCAGGTAGTTCGTTCCCTGAGGTCAGAATCCTGTGCTTTTCAAACAGCTTGGCAGCTTTCAGTTGGGATTATCACTGAAACTCCGCATTTACCATCATAAGCCCACGAATCACAAGGCGTATACCGCCGGTCATTAGCATATCTAAGCACCCCGATCAACGATATGATGGCTATGTAAGCAGTTACAGTGCCAAATACAGGGCGGCAACAGCTAAAGCGCCACATCAAAAGCCGTCCCGACGACCCGCGCCTTTCCGTCGCCACGGGGATCGGACGGCAAGACGTGGTGGATGTCGGCGTCACAGACAAACGTCACGTCACGTCACCGCCGCATCACCCGCGGAAAATGGAAGCAACCAGTGGTCAGGTGGATGGATCAGTCGGCAAAACTCAGAGGACGGCATGGTCTGATGAGTGGAGCGCGTGAACCTCAAAGATGCATTCACTTTAGCGCCATGTCTGATAGATAAGTCACATAGTTATCAACAACCAAAGGCCAAGGGAGAATGATAAGTGCACAACAAAAGTGACCACCTTCCTTCATTAAAGCATGAAGTGAAAACACCCGAAAGTTTCTAACTAAGCGACCTTTTCGTCCACATTCTGCGGTGCTGCCATCGCTTCACATTTCGGGTAATTGGTTTTGAGTGGAGTCTTACCTTAGAACTGACACAAAGAGGCGCTAAACAGGACATTACAATGAAATTCACCAAAGTGAATCAGATAAATCTGGGATAAGTTGCTAAGAGGTTTCATCTCAAAATATCGATATCCCTGGTGGACGATTCGGTAGGACCACAAAAGCACAATCCGTTATTTTCACCCCTTCACATTCAGCCAAGAAGCCAGATAGTCACGTTACTTACAAATCGGCAGCCAGGCATGCACACAAAACAAGCTTCATGACACCCATCCACTCACCTTTTTGTACTCGTGCGTGCGCGACGGAGGCACGTAGCCACCCGGGCCGCACTTGGAGGAGTTGGGACTCAGCGGATCCATGTCCATGGCAGCAGTCGCGTCCTCCACACCTCGTGCTGCACTGCTCACGTGGCACCGAGGGAGACACTGGAGCTGCGCCGACCTCCCCGCCCAGCCGCGCTCTTTGTTTTGATCGTTTGATCTATTTCGCGGGTTACCGCGGCGGCGCGGCCACAGGTGAATTTGGTAGCGGCCCCGGCGTAAGCTCCGCCCCCGACAGCGTGCGTCCCAGGCGGCGGCACGGTGCACTCGAGCAGGCCTCTGATTGGCTGGCTCCGGCCGGCCGGCACCCGAGCCGAACACCAACCCCGGCGGGAAACACTGGCCAAAAAGAGAAAAAAACGACACCGGAGACGGTTCCGCGTCCAGTTTGGGTCGCCGGGGTGGTGCTCGGGTGCACGGCGCTGGCGCAGCAGGCGTTTTCCCACGCCGCCTGGCTGTGGGGCTCGCGTGAACGGCCGCCGGCGCTGGAATCCTGGGAGATGGCCGGCCGTGAGAACTGCCACATTCCCACACTCGTCGGCCACCTGTCGGCCGACGGCGCCAGATGAAACGGCCCGGGTCAAGTGGCGGCGGCGCGGGGGCAGGGCAGCAGCCACCGGCGGCGCGCCGGCACCCGTTCTCAGGCCGGCCAGGTTACGCCGCCCCCTAATGAGCGGTCATCGCCGTGATAAATTGGACAGCGCCGAGCCGCTGCCGGCGTTCACAGGGAGGCTGCGCGCCGTGTCTGACCCGGCCGGGCCCGCGGCGGTCAGAGGTGACGATCCCCAGTCGGCCCCTGTGACCCACCCCCTCCTCTATGACCCCCTCTTCCTCCTCCGTCCCCACAGACCACCCATGAGACGTCATCGGCCGATCCAAAATGGCGTCGGCTCGAATGACGAGCAGCGCTGCGCCGAGATCGTCGCGATCTGCGGTCCGATCACGCCACGACTGTCTCACGCCTGCCATCTCGTAAATCTGCGCCGGCCGCGCGGGCCACTTTCCGCGGAGGAAGGGCCACCGCCGGTCGGGACGGAAGCGGATTTTTGAGCGCCGTGAACGTGACATGCGGCCGTGGTAATCCTCCTCCTGGCCGGTCCCACTCTCAGCATTGTTCGGCCATTTTTCGGCGGCCTTCTTTCGCCGGTGTGTGATCGTGAACAAAGAGAGCGTCCGTCCCACGATCGGCGGGTCGGCGCCGCCTCGTGCGACCTGCCAGTCCGGTCCGGGCCGCCGGCTGACCTGTTACCGATCGGCGTGACCCACTCTGACCCGTCTGACCCGCCGTAACGCTCCCTCGTACACCGGGTCCGCGCCGCTCCAGTCCCGCTGACCTCCCCGACCCGAATGCCGAGTAGCGGCTATCACTCGGGCTAATTCCCACCTGCGGGGGAGGGGGAGATAAATAGAATCGGACACCTGCAGTTTCCGGTCCTCTCCCCCTCGACTCGGCGTGATGGGCCCCGGGCCCCCGGTGTCAAACGGCGTGTAATAGCAGGCGGCAGCCGGGGCATTATGCTAATTATTACAGGTGTCCCGCCGCGTAATTACCTGACGGTTTATGGCGATGTTGCGGGCATCAGACAGGTGTGCTTTATCAGCCATTCGGAAGCATAAACTGCATTTTATTCCGAAAACCTACACGTTTTTTCGCCCCCTGTCTTGATTTAGTGCCCATAAATACATAAATGCGTGTTTGTTGCGTTTGCTGAACACAGAACAAGAGCCATATGTCAAATAGCATTTCAATGCATCCTAAATGTGTGCATTTCTTCAAATAAGCAGTGTTTTGTATATTTTGTATAATGATAGCCAAGTGACAAGCCTGCTGCGGTGCTGCGTGACTCAAACATCGTACCATTTATAATAGTCACATGTGAATAGGCAGGACAAATAGTCCCACAGCTCGTATCACGCTAATCCTAATCAACCTCATTCTGCCATGCAAACCTGTGGAAGAAACCGACCTCCCAATAACACAAATCCGAGCATGGGAACCCACTGCAACAATGGCCCCTCCGCGGCGCCACAGCCGCTAACCCACGCGTTACCACCGCAGTAAGCGTGTGCTCGGCGACAAAAACCACCTGTCTGAGCATTATCGGCCCATTTTCCCGGTCACCTTCAGCGGCACAACGTGAGAGCGTGCCACGGGGCCTGGGACAACGGCATTTTTCAGCCCCAATCAGCCCGGTGACGAAGAGGAAATCGGCAACATATGGGCAGTTTTCGCTGGGCGTTCGTCTTTTCCGGGCCAACGCACGCACGCGAATGCCCTCACGCATCGCGCAGGTCGAAACTGCTTGTCTGATGATTGTATCGGTACAGGCAATCGATTAATTTGTGGAATGCTCGCGTGCGACGTGGAAGAGGTAAAGGGGAGATATGATTGGTTGAGATAGTGTGCACGTGTTTCCAGTTGAGAGTGATGGCTGAGTTGGAAAGTGGGCTAAGACGATCTCCGGATCTGACATTTTATATCTAGGCATATGCATGGGTGCCGTTTTATGCATATAGGACTGACATAGGTCCTAAGTCCTTACTAGAGATGTCAATCGGATACCAACTTTTTGGTATACCGATACCAAACCGAAAATCCTAATGTGTTTGGTATTTTGTTGGTATCCATGACCCTTCACTAGTGTATAAGAGGCTGAGAAATTGGTAAAAAGTTGGTATTTCCCTCATGTTTCCAAGTTGGTTTGGTTTCGGTATTTCCCCATGGTTTTGGTTGGTATTTGGTTTGGTATCGGTATTCCGATTTTCCTTAATTGACATCACTAGTCCTTACCAATAACTTCAGCATTTCAGCATTAGTGCTCTGGCGTTGCATTGAACAAATTGCTTTGATATTCTGAAATTAACCATTACAGCCATACCAATTAAGTTCGGAAAGCGATACCTGTGTCCATATACCCACTTAGGTAGGTACTCTATATACTTCTTCCAGCTTTGAACTGTTACGAAAATTAATCAGCTCTAGATGGATTCATACAATAATATAACTGAATGACACGGATGGTTTTGGTAGCATAAAAACTGACCATTGACCACCACCAAACGGAATGTTTTGACCTATCGTATGGTTGTACATATACATCTAACTGACCTCTGTGATTGTCATGTTTCCAAATATTACACAGAAGAAATCGACGTCATTTTAAAATCACGCACTTATCTGTAAATTTCAAAAAAGCTATTTTCGTCTCTAACCGCCCAGCACCGGACCGAGGGCTGTCTTCTGGCGTGTTCACCAGCCCTTCAGAAACATCCGTTCTCCTCTTCTCCCCTCCCTCATGACCCCGATCCCTCTGCCGCCGAGATCAGCCCCGTGGCGTCCCGTCCCCTGCCGATTTGGGGCAGTCGGTGGCCGCCGGCGGTGTCAGACGGCGCCGGCCGGTGGGGTGGACGAGGGACGGACGGTCCCGTGGACGCCGGCGTGCATTCCGCCACCGGTCCGAGCGTGGGAACGTGCCGTGCGGCCAGGTACCCCACAGGTGCCTGGGCCGCCCCTCCGCCGGCCGGCGCACATCCGTCCCGCCGGCCCATTCATTCGCCGGACGCGCGCAGCGGCGGCGCCAGGAGACGGATTTTGGTGGGAAGATCAAGGACGCTGGACGCAGACGCGGAAAGAAGAACGAATCGGGGATAACGCTTATGATAGCCCCACGTCAGAAAGCCGGCTTAGTATTCATCATCTTTTGAATGGTGTCGGATCCATCGTTACCGCTGTGACCGGCGACCGCCCCTGCTGCCACCCACCCTTCCTTCAAATATTGTCCGAGGACAACCGAAATCAGGCCCGTGAAATCAGGCCCGTCTCCGGTGCCGGCGGCGGCCAGCCAATTACGGCACGCGGGCCACTTTGAAATTTGAATAGTGCGCCAGGAAGTCTCCGACCGTTGGCTCGTGGCTCCGTGCCGGGTCACGTGACACACACTAATAAGCACCGGAAGCCGGAAGGGCTAATGTCTTGCACGGCCGAGTGTGGCGCTTCCTGGCGCAAACAGTGATTACGACAAAACGATTCACGTGGGAGCGACGCTATCGAATCCGGCATCGGCGCCGCCGGCGGGGAGGGGGCCGATGGGAAACCGAAACGGACGGAGCCAGGAGTGCCAAAGTCGCCGGACAAACCGGAAACGGTCGGCGGCGGCTCCCGTGTGAGCCGGCCGGCTGACCGCTGTCGCAGGTATTCATTAGGTGTGTACGCTGGATTTGAATCACACCGCCGGAACTCATTCTACATTGTTTCACACCTTACTTTCCCGGTCCCTGGCTGTTTCATCGGTGTTTCACAGCTCATAAGTACCTACCTAACTGGGAATATTTTACGCTTGTTTTGTAAACGAACTCTATTCAGTCTTGCATTTATTTTATTTGAAGTAGAACAAGGACAATGGCAATGTCGATGGATCGCTGATTTTCATTGGCTATAAAGTCACAGACGCGCATACATATAAATATATACATAAATTACCTACATATAAATATATGAAGTCTGCGGCTGAGTTCATAGCAATTACAACGATCAAAGATTTGTTAACGATTCTTGTGGAAGCGTATTTTGTCTTTCAGTACAGCTAATGAAATATGCCAAACAGCGCATTTACTCTCAGCAATGAAAAGGGAAATAAACCATTTCCCATGAGTTCTCTTTTCTAATGAGGAAACATTTTTTTAGGATTCGCCCCACAGCTCAGGTCCAATGCCGCATTCCTAGATTTGCCAATGACGAGAAGAAGAAATACAATTATTGCATGCATGACGCATGTATATGCAAAATGCAAAAATACCGGTAGACATGCAAAATAAAAATATTAAAGCAATGATACAATCAACAAGGGCCAGTCATTTGACGCTTATTAAGGATGAAGTATCTTGAATGTTGAATTGAAATATTTGTTGGCATCTTTTGATTTAAAGCGAGCTTCAATTGTAATTTCTGCGGACACTAACGCGCCCTAACTTCAGCAATTGAGAGTACCTACTTTGCTCACTCTCATCTAACAGAAAACGCAAAATACAAGACGGTACCTACTGATAAGTGTGAACTTATCAACAGCTTTTTAAATATGGCATTTACTTACTCCTTTTCTGCGCCGCACTCAATTGTCGCTGTTTGTATTAATTCAGTTTAGGTCTGCACTTTGCCGAAGAGTTTACCCCTTCACCCTGTCGGGTCACCTTTAGCGGGGTCACT